TAATATTTATAGACTATTCTTCCCAGACTTAACGTATTTTGAAAACTGTACATACATACTGATAGAAAAAGTTTTTGTGTGAATGTGGGTATCATGGAGATCACACATTTTCAACAAATATCTCGAATGAATATCTGCCATCTGAACCAAAAGCTACTTAGATATCATTTACGATACATTTCCAAGAAATGTATTATGTTGTTAAAAGTAATTATGTAATATTTTAGATATTTATTAATGTGAGCTTAGATTTAGTAGAGAGTAAGACAAGAATAATAAAAAATAACCGCTATTTAAAATTAGTAAATGTTTAGATCTCTGTATCACCGATCCGTGTTAGCACTAAGCTGTTATTAAAAAAATATATTTATATATCAGAGACATTGTCGTAACCATTCGATTGCTAAGTTACTTTTAGCTTATTTTATTAATTTTGGTTGGTCCTGTTTTATGTATGTGTAACATTTTGATGTATGAAGTTCGGGGTTACATAGTTGAGCATATTTTCTAGTGCAATATATAAATTTATTTTATCCTGTTAAATAACTGGACGTTGAAGGTTTTCTGCAAAATATCCCAAAATATGTAATGTGAAAGCCCGATGCCTTAACCCTTAAACAACATTCTACTATACATCTCCCAAAGTTTTATGCTTTCGTCAAGCTACTTTTTGTAGTAGAGCACCGGACTTGGATAGGATAGAAAAAATAGTAATATTGCGTTAGGGCTAGTCTATACCTGATGACCTATACAAGTTCATTTCCTATGGTCACCGTCATGTGAAGCCCCAATTGGTTAATGTCAAAAGTTATTCAATAAAAACTGATTTTTAGTGATGTTATTTAGAGACCTTCATATTTGTACTACTGCCGCTTACGTTATTTTTATACGAATATTCTTAACTTTTCATCAGCATATGGCTCGATAGTATGTATGTTTCTCGGCAACATTACCCGAAATACTTAGACAAACTTGTCAGAATTTATCAGACGGACTATAATATCGGGTAGGAATGGTTGACGAAATAGGCTAGTTCACACTTTTTTAAGTACGTCTTAAATAGTTAATATTTGTTAGACCAAAAAAATTAATACTATACTTTTTCAGACAAAAAAGATTACAAAACTTTAATAAAAAAAATGTATAACATATGGGACTGTTTCCGCCTTCGTTGGAGCAACTTCACCGGGAGAAATCCATTGTTTTGATTGTTGCTTAGTTTCTGCTGTGTAATGATGAATCCAGGATTCAACAACGGTAACTCGACCCAAAAATTCCTTCAGATTTCGCTTAAATTGCTCCAAACACTGCTTCGAAGTTAACAGCCGAATTCGCTTGTTGTCCACCGTGAGCAATCGGGGCGACAATTTTTTCATCTCCAACTTATCATGTAAAATATTCATTGCCGGTCGACACACCTACGGCCTCTGCTCGCGATTTCGTTCGTCGATCAGCGAGAATCATGTCGTGGACTTTTTGAATGATTTCCTCGGTAACCACGTCTGCCGGGCGTCCTGGTCGCTCCTCATCAAAAACGTATGCTTGCCCACGTTTAAATTCGTTGAACCAATATCTAACTGTAGTCATAGATGGCGCATCTCCTCGCATTTTTCCCATCCGAAACCAAAAAGCGAATTACCGAACGATACTGCTCTTTTTCCATCTTAGCGAAAATCACGAAACACGTGATACTCGAATAGCTGCCAAATTCAAACTAACCTAGCAATCAGTCTGAAATTTGCTGTGCCGTCGTTTGATAGATGGCAGCACACGATGATAACACCAACTTTCCTCAGGAACTCCTTCTGTCGTGAAACACGGGTACTTATTGAACCAGCCTCGTAAATATGCCCAACACTCTGTGTATTGCTTGGAGCATACGTTATGTTCAGGACATATTTTATATATTACCTCACCTTTAAGTTGGACGTAATCTAAGGCATAATCACCGTACGATTCCCTTGCAGATGTGTAAAAAAATACAATATTAGATAAAATTATTCAGAGGTTATAACGCATGAGCAACATATATTTTTTCAAATTCGTCTTATACGGTGAGATTCAGATTTGGCTGACGTCGTAATGTGTACGAGAGAAAATCGCGAAAAGCGTGCGATATGTATGTTAGAAAGAGAGAGAAGCACTTCGTTGTCTAGCAACCTGAGTACGAGGTCACGGAAGCCATCGGAGCACTCTTTCTAGCATGCACATCGCACGCTTATGGCTCTTCTTTCTCGTACTCATTACACCGTCAGTGCTATTTGGTTTTTGGTGTATATCCATCTTGCGCTTTTAAAACTTGAAATTCATATATTTGTTTTCCTAAGCCTCACATATTGTGAGAAATACTCATGTATTCTACGAAATTAGCTATGAGTTAGTAGTAAAGTGAGAACTACCTTTCTCCACTATTAGGACGCATGTTAATGTCAAAAGTATTAAAAAACAGTCCCCCAAGCCGGCGACTATGATGATACGTGAAACGTATTTTCACCCTAAAACATTTCAAAGTGCGACAATAAATATATTCAAAAATTGAATGGGTTCATATGATAAAATTACAGGCAGTTCAAAACAGCATAGTTAGGTATGGCTACTTGTGGTTTGATGAAGGAGACCATGGTGTACAACATAAGAAAATAAAGTTCCAAAAAGCATAAACGTTCCCTTCACTAAGTATACTCAAACGTCCCGTATTTAACTATTAGTTATCGTAAGCAAAACGTGTGCCATATCACTACCTCTTCAACAACAAAATGTTGCTGGTAAGAATCTGCCTTTCGGATCTAACAGTATCAGAAATATAACCACAAATACCTAAACATTTATTTGAGTGCTCCTTACTGTGATTTAAAGTAATTGTAAATACACTTTATGGTTTTTTTACCATAGTATTATATTTTTATATTTCTGATACATAATTGATCAACTTTACTTAGTTACTATACAAAATTGGCTCAGAACACAGTTGTGCCAAATCATTAATGGCCGAGTTTTTCCATTTTATTAATTCATTAATTTAAAGTTAAGACATTTTATTTCATGTTACATGGTCTACCTATTTCTCTGATGGTGTAATAAAATATAAATAAACATTATTTAAAGTATGTTATTTCATTTGGCCCTTATGCATCCATTAAATGTGGTTTAAGGTGAACATTGTCTTCGTGGAGATAACTGAGTAACCCAGATCTCAATATGACTTTCCAGAAAGTTTATCAGCACAACCCATGAGTACATACATTAGTTTTGAATTATTCATTAGCTAGCGTTTTTTTTTTCATGACTGTTTATCACTTATTATTGTTCACATTTAATTATTAATCCTCAAATATTTGAATTCATTCATTCACAATTCTTTGTCGCAGGTCTTCTAATGATGTTGACTGAGTAGCATATAGATTTTGCTTTTAAATGACCCCACATGAAGAAATCCAAAGGTGATAAATCTGGCGATCTTGGGGCCATTCAATGGCACCTCTTCTACCAATCCATCGATCTGGAAACGTCTGATCTAAATATTGTCGAACACGTAATGCGTAATGTGGTGGGGCACCATCCTGTTGGAACATCAACCTATTCGCAATGTACCGCCGATCATTCTGATGTTCAATTATGGCTGTTATGCAGGATCTATATCGTCTTCCAGTAATTCCAAATACATTTCACCGGTCAAATTTCCAGGTAAGAAAAAAAGACCAACTAAATGATCGCAAAAAATACATTTGATTTTTGGGTCTGCTGTGTATGAACCTCATGATAAATTCTGGGATTAGAATCGGACCAATATCGGCAGTTATGACGATTTACTACGCCATTTAAGAAAAAGGAACATTCGTCGGAAAAGCAAGTGTTGAATAGAAAATATCCATCGTTTATAATTCGTTCACTCATATTTTCACAAAATTGTAATCGCCGATCAAAATCGTCTTCATTAAGTTCTTGTACCAGGTGAATTTTATACGGATGAAAACTATGGGCCTTTAGAATCCGTTGGACAGTACGTCGACTAACACCACACAGTCTCCAATTTGCGGCTACTTAACGTAGGATCTACATAAACTTGCCCTAAAGCCCCCACTTCTATTGCTTCGTTCCTTATGGGATTTTCAATGTTGCGTTTTTTATTGGCAACTGACCCAGCTTCCCGAAATTTAGCTGCAAGTTCTAGAACAAATTTTCGATGCACGTTACTGTTCTCATGTCGCTCATTAAATATTTCTGCTGTTCTATGAGCGCACTGATTATTTCCGAAAAATATTTCGATAATTTCAACTCTCTGCTGTGGAACATACCATGATTAATTTATGTAATAAAGCGTTACAAGTTATTTTAGCAACAAAGTTTGGTCAAATCAATCGCAAACTATGTACTAAATTTAAAATAAGTACAAGATATTTACTTATCTTTCTTCAAGAAATAACTTTTTTGCCACAAAAAACGCTCCAATAGCTATTTTCAACAACAAAATGATAAACAAACCATGGGCATAGTGAAGAAAAGCATTTACTTATTAAGTAAATTCTTCTAGTCAAATTTCTTCTGAAAGTAGTACAAACTAATCTGATGTACCTGTTGAAGTCTACTTTAAGCTTTAAATCAATAAATCTTCAAAACTAATGAACTGAAGCTCATGTATTTTACATCATTATAAAGGGAATTGAAAGACCTTTAAAATAAGGTATCACTCGACCCCCTTTCCATTTAAGATTTTAGGGTTGGTGTCACCCCCGCCCAGGGGGCTGCACGTGTTAACGTGATTTTTTGCCAAACTTGTGTCCCCCTCGAAAACAAAATCGACGGGTCTGAGCGTTTTTCCAAAAAAAAATTTGCTGCCAGTAAATGCGTCTGTTTTGTTTTCGATGCGCCACCCTGTATAAACTGAACGTAAGTAGCCATGTAGCATCCGTAAAGTTAGTAAAATCTTAAGGTTTTTTAACCACGTTTTCATATTTCCTTCTAAATCATCCTGTATTGCAATAACTTATCAACTCGTTCAACGTCACTTTCTTTTAGACATCGTCAGTTTTACTCCACATATTTTACAAAATATTGAGCTCTATTAATGGCGCTACTTAGGAGGTTTGTGACGAAACCGTTCTTGCGAAACATCTTCGCCCACATGAGAAACTTCTCTGAGCAAGAGTCGTCAACATGCCCACTGCCCCAACCGGAAAATCCATGTAAAGCACCTCGCACTAAGGGCTTAGTTTTAGGGCTATACACGAATCCAGATGATCCCTTTGATATTGGTGCTCTTACACCGACAGGAAAGAGATATAATGCAATGGTGTGCAATAGGCTACTCGAACTGCTGGAGATGTCACCTCCACCCAAAAAAGGAGAAATAAGGTTGTTCTACAACGTGGATCCTGAATTCTCTATGGTCGCCGTAAGTGGACTAGGGCGTGCCTGCCAAGGATATGATGTCTTCGAGCAGATGGACGAAGGAAAAGAAGCTATCCGTATTGCGTCAGCACAGGGAAGCAAAGCGCTTCAGAAAATGATGGTGCGAAGAGTCTACGTCGAAAGTTTCGGCCATGCAGAATCAGCAGCTGAAGGTTGCGCGCTCGGCGTGTGGCTGTATCAAGAAAAAAAGCGTAAGGAACATCAGAAATATATACCAACCATAGAGCTTTACGATGACTGCGATTGGACAGGTTGGCAAATCGGTCTGCAGAAAGCTGCCGCGCAAAACTTAGCAAGACAACTGATGGACTGCCCGGCGAATATGATGACTCCCACAACGTTTGCACAGAATGCCGTAGAAGTGCTTTGCAAGTCTGGAATAAACGTCGAGGTTAAAGTTAGAGGATGGGCTGAGACGCAAAAAATGAACGCTTTCCTGGCGGCAGCTCAAGGTTCTTGTGAGCCACCGATCTTTTTGGAGCTAAGCTACTATGGTGCCTGCAAAGATGAGAGACCAGTTGTCTTGATAGGGAAAGGAATAACATATAACAGCGGAGGAATATGCGTGAAAGAACCGAACAAGCAGAGGTTCATGAGAGGAGACATGGGAGGCGCAGCATGCGTTGTAGCTGCCTGCAGAGCAGTGGCAGGTCTTCAACTGCCGATCAACATAAGAGCACTGATACCACTCTGCGAAAACATGCCAGGCTGTGCCGCAATGAGACCTGGTGATATCGCAAAAGCCATGAATGGTAAAAGCATCAAAATTGAATCAACTGAGGTAGCAGGCAGGTTATGTCTTGCAGACGCTCTAGTCTACGCCCAAAATTTCTGGCCTAGATTTATCGTGGATATAGGAACCATGACCAATGACATGAAGCACGCAATTGGTGCATCGGCCTGCGGAGTATGGAGTAACTCGGAAGCTTTATGGGAGTACATGCTTGCAGCCTCAATGCATACTGGTGACAGAGTGTGGAGATTTCCTCTCTGGGATCACTTCACCAAGCTGATAGCTGACCACCACGCAGTTGATACCAAGACCTACGGCAGAGGTGGAACACCCAGGTGCGGGGAAAATAATAGGGTAGCGGCTTTCCTCAATGAGTTCGTTCCGTGTGGTGATTGGTTACACATAGACAGTTATGGAGTCATGTTTTCCAATGGAGAAGACTACCCCTACCTACGAAGGGGAATGTCTGGAAGGCCCACTAGAACCATGGTGGAGTTCTTGTCGCAGCTAGTCTGTCATCGCGAGTAATTTAAGATTTACAGAAATTGCTCAAATTATGATTAAAAATAAATATCGTAGAATGTATGTATATGTAAAGTATGTATTTATGACGCAGACAAGGGCGAAGCTATAGCAGGATAATAAATATGATGGCGGGGTCGTCGAATACATTTATGAAATAGAGAAAGTGATAGATAAATCACAATATTGAAATCTGTGTGATCCCCGTTTAAAACGGACTGTACCAATCGCTAATCGCCGGGCTAATGATAGCAACGTATGTCCTAAAAGACTTGGCACAAAATTTTTATCTTTTTTTAAGAAGAAATTTATTTAAACACTAACTATCAGGTAACCAAATAAGTTCGTGCGGTTTATAGTAGAAAAATATAAATTTTTATTGAGAAACAATGACACTATTTATTAATCGAAGTAATTACCATCACATTCAATGACCTCTTGCCAACGTGGAACAAATTTTTGTATGCCGGTATTGTAGAGTAAAAAAATTGGCGGACTGCATTTATTACATCATCTCGAGTTGTGAACTGTCGGTGCATCATACAGTTGTCAAGAGACAAAAAAGGTGATAATCACTGGGCGAAATGTCGGGAAAGTATGGCGGGTGCAGTAACGTGTCCCAGCCGAGTTCAGAAATTTTTTCTCGTGTCACTTTTGCGGTATGAGGCTTGGCATTATCCTGCAAGAATATCACTTTCTTCCAATTGATGAAAGAAGGCTGTTTCTGGATGACTGCTGCTTGTATTCGTTGAAGCTGCTCTCAATACAAGTTAGAAGTGATGGTTTGACCCCTGTCCAAAAACTCATAATGAACAATTCCAGTTGCTGTCCACCAAACATACAACAAAACCTTGTTTGGGTGCAAGGAAGCCTTGGGCGTGTGTGATACCGAATCAGTAGGTGACAACCAATGGTACGAACTCTTAGAATTCGAATACAAGATCCATTTTTCGTCGCAGGTTAATAACCGATTAAGAAATGGTTCATTAGCGTTGCGTGAAATGTTTGCTGAACAAATGGTAAGACGACTTTGTTATCATTTGTCAGTTCATGTGGGACCCATTTGCTTCACTTCCACGTCTTTCTGATGAAGATGCAAACGAATAGTTTCAGGACTCACTCTGAACATTTCTGCATTTCTTGGCAAGTTGTCCTGGAATTTGCGTCCACAACCTGTCGAAGATCCTCGTTGTTCATGATTTTTGGTTTCCCTGAGCGCGGTTCATCGCTCAAACTGAGATCTCCCGAAGAACATTTTTTGAACAAATTCTGTGCTGTTCGATCACTAACGGCATCATCTCCGAATGCGGTACATATTTTCAATTATTAAAACTAGGTATGTAACAATTTTCACCAACTTTTTATGTGTGCGAGAAATGAAGGATTCATACTAAAGTGACAACAGGTAACAAACAATCGCTATCGATCAACAACATCCATGGCAATGTGCGATATACAGCATCCGCACGAACTTATTTGGTTACCTGATAGTTATCATAAATTACAATTCAATACTTAACTGAACTATACTATCACTTATCTGAACTATACTATCGAATTATGTGGAACGACCCATGCTTCCTCATTCTTAATTGTTCTTCATTGGGCGAGCCTGCGGTAAATTTGGAGGATTATCGTTTTTGGGGACAAAAGGAATGTTGCGTTTTCGAGGCCAGTTTTGGGTATCTCTGGAGTAATGGAGTGATGTTCAGGTCTGGTCAAAAACATGACATGGTCATTAGCATGATGTTCGTGTACAAGCTGAAGCAAAAGGTGGGGATACACCCCTGCTAGAAATTACGCACCAGTCAAGGATTTTATTTGCAAATTTCGCTTGTTTCTAGCATTGTCGGGGGATCACTCTGAGTTGTCCGTATAAAATACGTCGTTTACCTTCATTTTAGAATTACTCAAAGTGAAATACTTTTCGTCATCTAAAATAATGATTTTTCCATTAGCAAAGCATTGTGCTTGTAGCGTTTATTTCGTATACAAAGAAACTTTCAAATAAAAGAGTTGTTAGCAAGTACAAAATAAATATGTAGCATACAAAGAACCACAACAAAATACGGGTCTGTCTACCTGGAGTTCACCGATCCATCGGAATGAAATATGTGTCCTGTGTCGATATGGGGAATTTTGAATTATTACTAGATAACCAGCTGTCATTGTTCCGTGATGGATACTCATGAAATAGGGTGTACACGTAATTTGAAGACATCTATTTAGAGGTTAAACAGCGATGTGTGCTCAAAAATGGTCAATTCTGCTGCGATAGATGGCGCTTCGCGCTATTCATGCTATTTAGAGGTTGTTGACAAATAAAATGTTTCACGTTTCATGGAAATAATTGGGTATAACTATAAATATAGGCTTATATAGTTTTCCCATTATTCACTGAAAATTAGTGACTAAATGGAGAGAAGGTATCTTTTCAAGTATTTTTCTCAATATTTACTGAAAATTAGAAAAGTCCCTGAAAAGTATGGACTTGAAGAATGGAAAATGTATTAGCCGTGACTTGAATGGAAGGAGAATCACTTAGTCAAATGACTTTTTATTAGTAGTGTACCCGATATTTACTGAATTAGATAAAGAATGGAAAATGCACTAGGGGCTGGCAAAAGCAATCTGGCAACTGTGCAATTGGATTGATGAATCATGATGGATAACTAGATAGTGATGGGAATGTTTATCTTGAATAAAATAAACGATTACTTAACAACAATTATTTACATCACAAAAACGATGCAATATTGAATTATTGCGATGAATATTGTCACCGTACTATGAACTGCATGTTATAATCTTATCATTTAAAGCATACTTTTGTATGCACATGAAAAACCTGGTTATAAAACAATATTCTACACCGCCGTGTTACCACTCATAGTACAAACTTTAATCACTATAAGATACTAAGTAAAGGTTTTCTTAAAAAATGTTTGATATTTTGTGTCCATGTTACACTCAAATCTTTAATCAAATTCAAGCGGATAACCAAATGGAAATAGTATTTACCATTTTGGGTTGGTATTTACCGATCCGTTCAAGCGAGTGTAGTCATCAGTTTGGTTATAAGATCCGTGACGTCACGAATCAGCTGTTACATGTCATAGTTATCACCGCAAAATTGTGGTATTTAGCCAACTCAAGAGTAGTTTTATATTTCTGGTTATTATTTGAAATGTGACAAGTTAGAATTTTGCCGGGTATTGGATATTGTGATTGTACTTCAGCTTCATTTTTGAGAAAATTGATACAGGCTAACTTCAGTTTTACCATAAAGTGGAGCACCTTATTAGTTATACTCATTAGGGTTGTTGGGGACACTTAAAATGTAGTTCCTATGCTTAACAAAGTATCCTGTGTAGCCATATACCACAAGAATATTAAAATATGGCCATATAAACTCACTAGATGATATCCACCTGTATACGGTTTTGCTAATTTCTTTTTTCATCATTTCTGCTGAATCAATAAATGTTTTCTTTGACATGCGGAAAAATTTAGATAATTGAAAGTTATCATAGCTACGAAGCCATGGTTCCATCATTAAAAAAAAAATTTGAAAAAAAAACATTTCTCCCATAAATATTATGAAAGGTTTCTTATTTAAACTTTTCATACACAGTTGTACACGAAAAAGCACCGATTATTCAGAGATAATAAAAATAATCCGAGATTATATACGCGCTTTTCTAAAATAAACAACTTGCAACAAAACCGCGGTTAAAACCAATGCGTTCAAGCGATTCGTGTAACTGACGTCATCAACCCGTGTGTCATCTTGAACCATATTATAACCGCGGCACATAACACAGAAATTTTGGTTATTCGCTTGGATTTGGTTTTTCACTTTATAACAAGAAATGAAATATTTTCGATTTCTAAATTACTTTTCAGACTCAAAAGTTTTATATTTCTAGTCGCTAATTTATTGCCTTATTATTGTCCACATTATTAATTATACAATTATTAGTTTTCACATCCCAGCAATTATGAACGGATTATTCCTTCCATAGGCAATAAGTGGCAATGCCGCCAAGGGTGGAAATTTCAATTGTCAATGTCAAAAATTTCACGTCGTGATGCCGTCCACGGTATTGCATACACGTGTCGAATTACGTCATTCCCTAAAAATAGAATCCCCCACTTTCCGCCATTTTTATTATCCCCTCCATCACTGATGTAGTGAACTGTCAGTTTGGATTTGTTTTTTAAAGTTGGCCTATTTATTTCATAAATGTATCATGAAGTAGATTCTTATGGTAAATCAAATTATAAATTAGAATTATTCCAAAAAATACACATGTCCATTCCTGCCAAATGACAATTTGCTTTCGAATCACGTTCTATAGCCACGACGGAGATGTCAAATTGTATCTGATCTTGATCTTCACAAAAGTACACAACGTACGGTATCAATAACGGAGTGTCAAATTGAAATTTGCCGAGACGTCAAATCCTGTAAAAACACCGGTTTTGTAAAAATAATCACCTCTTTAGAATAATTTGAAATTTCAAGTGGAGTTCGGAATGAATGAACCACCATCTGAGCGTGCGTAAATGGTTCCCGCGCATTGCACGATCCTAGTAAATTTCATGGCTCCATGACAGAGCCGCCATGATGGCTTTCTGCTCAACACGCTCGACATGGAAAGTTTCAAAGTTGTTTTTTAGTATTTGTGACTGAGTGCGTGTAAATAAAAACAATGGGAACGTACTAAAGAAAACGGAGATTCGTTTAGTGTCCGACTCGGACGGTCCGGGTGGCAAGGAGATAGTTTATAGGAGATTTTATGTTGGCCTTGTCGTGTGTTTTGTGCTGTCAACAAATATGTCCAAGCTTTCATTTAGGGCGAGGGCCCTGGATGCTAGCAAACCCATGCCTATCTACATGGCTGAGGAACTCCCGGATCTTCCTGATTATTCAGCAATTAATCGGGCAGTTCCTCAGATGCCATCGGGAATGCAAAAAGAGGAAGAATGTGTAAGTTTTCATGAGAGGAAACCTCGTCGCTTGTTGTAGATTAGTCCGCCATGTTGCCCACATTCGCGCTCACATGCCTAGCCGGCAAATTAATTTTTCGGGTGCAAATACCACTTTGCACAACTTTTTTCGTAAAAAAACTTGCAGAATTACTGTGCAGTTTTCATAGATAAGCTGAAATATATACATGTCTCGAACTGTCACTGCTGTTTTTTTATAGTTGGATTAAATACCCACGTTGTTATTGCTGGCGATGGGATTATAGATTGGCGGAATGAATTGTTTACATTTCATTATTCTACCGAAAATGTCTTCGTAGTCTGGTGTTATCATGAATATAATTAACAAAAGATGTAATTCTAAACACATTTTTTAGTTAAATACCTTCCCAAATATATAATAATATCATAAAGACATTGTTGTATTTATTGGATATTAAATACATACTGAGGAGCATCATTGTATACTGATTTCCAGTTCTTCTGCGAGTAGATCGTGTATCATTTTCGTTTTTATAAAAATTTCTCAAACTTTTGGGTAGAATTATAATAACTATTTGAATTATTCACCTACTGATAATGTTGCAAAATGCTACTTACATTTTTGCACATTAACAGGAGCACCATCTACAAAGAGCCATTGTGGCAGGGCTCATCATTCCAACTCCAGAAGTATCAGAGATGCCAAACAAGGAGTTTTATGAAAAGAATTACCCTGCAAATTACAAGCAACCCCGGCAACTCATACACATGCAACGTAAGCATTTTTTTTTAAGATTTGCCTTTTCGAGCCCCTACTGTTACACGAAACAAAATGATTTTGCTTAGTTTGACATGGTTAATATGGTTTTAAGTTCTAGCTATTAGATTGCTATATTGAGCACCTTATAGTCTACTCTACTCATACTTTGAAATTGATGGTTATTTGCTTTCAGGTGGTTTCGTTAAATCTTTTTTAAATCTGTAACAATATATTATTGATATGTGGGGAATATATGGTATTTGTGATTTCAGTGTTCTGCTAAAAAATGAGTTAATCAACAAATTGTAGAAATAAATCATTCAAATAGTGTAAAATTAAAATATCATGCTTCATTTTGAACATATGTTGAAATTTAAGTATCTATTAAGATTTAGGCACAAAATTAACAAAATGTGTAGTCTCCAATTCTGACTATAAATATATAATGAATATAAACAAGTATCTGTATATCTAACTGGTACCATAATAGACGAATACTCTTCTTATTGCTAGATCCACACTATAAGAAAAGAGACACTACAAATTTATATAATTGCATAAAAACATGTTTTTAGATATTCTTAAAGATTGTGTTACCCTCACCTAGAACAATTCAAATTGTACATTTTCATGTAACTGTGACAATTTTTTGAATTGATCTTGATCAGATTGTAGTAAATCAAGAAATGGTAGTTTAAATAAGCCCAATTTGGCCTACAGAAACTAGGAACATGTCAGTTGCCCGCTCTTGCCAGTGGTTCCCATATTTACCCTGGTAAGTTTATTTTACTGAATTTCAATGGTACATCACTGCATCTATATACAAAACAAAGATTCTTGAATAGAAAAGTCAGTGATCATATACAATAGAATAACAATTTAATGTATCTTCATTTTTCTGAGATCATGTAGGTTTTTGTCACTACCCTGGCATTATTTTTATGACAGTTTTTGGCATTTGTTCTTTTATCTCCTTTTTTTTCTACTTTTTATCATTTCTTCAGAATAAAATTTATTACAAGTATTGAAAGCAGAGGCTGCAACCTGTGATAAAAGAAAATGTTTAAAGCTTCCAAAGGCAACCTTTACCATTATAGACATATTAGAACAGTAGAAAACTGAAAATCAAAGAGGCCATAAAAGCATCCTAAAATTGTAGGAATGACTAATGATACAGCCCTTAGGGTCTGTGAGCCTTCAATCTTGATTCTCTTGTTTCAAGACCTATGGAACAGAATACTTGTCATTTTTAATAAAGAACCATTGAACTTATTTAGCTAATGGGATTTATGTTTAAAGTATATTAATTTTTAATAATGTAAATTTTCCACTAATATCTGGAAATGCTGTTGAAATCAAAATATTATCTGACCCTGTCAAATGTGTATTACATCTCATATAGTCTGTGAGTTAATGAATATGGAAACAAAATAAGCTACTTTTTTTTAGTGGACACTGAAAACCAAAATACCTTATAACCACCAATGTCACATGTTCCACTATTTAATTATAAATCTGTAATTTATGATTTTGTTTTTTGTAACATTTTTAGGGGTCTTGAATTTTATTACTCTCATCACTAGGGATACATGGAATACCAGGCACTCAGCATAGTACTTGGAGGAGCTTTTTGCTCTGAGTTATTTCACCTACTGTTAGTGATACTAGGATTATATTTGCATTTTTGGAAGGTACCCTCTTTCTCAAAATAGATTTTGTTTCCAAGAAATTAATTCTTAATCACAGTTGGGCACAATTATTAAAAAAGGGGCTTAGACTATTGAGTTTTAGGTCAGATTCCATATCCCTATAGTTTATGCAGTCCTTGGGGATGCTTATTTTAAAAGCTATATATTTAATAAATTTTCTCTGGATAGAATGCAATTTATCAATGTGGACTGGATAATAGCTGTTCCAGACACTAGAACACCCTTCTAAATGAGATCTGACAAGAGATGTATATAATAGTTTTCTAGAAAAATATCTGTGAAGTCTCTAGTATTCCTCTTTATGAAACATCCTCAAAGCCTTTGCGCAGCAACTCTCTATATGCTGAGCAAAAGTTAACTTTGAATCAAAAATTACTCCCAGATCCCTTATTGACTTAACATTTTTTAAGATAGCCCTATCAACAGAATAAGTATTTTCTGATATGGTTAACGATTTGAAGAACTGAATAATTATACATTTATCTATATTAACATACAGCTTGTTACCCTCACTAAAATCATAAAACCTATCTACAGTAGCAGATAAAAATTTGGAAACATTCTTAGTAATTTTTATAAAGTGCTAATTTTGTATTATTTATTATTAAGGGCTGTTTTTTTTCTCATACAGTTTACTTACAGTGTTGAGGATACAAATGACAATTTGTGTTTGTTTTGGTGCTACAGACTAGGATTAAAATACCTTATTTTGTGACCAAAAATGAGATAACAAAGTATGGAAACATAATTTTTATTACAAAATTAAATACAATAACTCTACAAAAACATTTAAAAAATACTGTTTAGGCTAATATTTGGTAGGATAGTCTTTAACCTGACATCTGCTGCTCATAGAAGACACCAATTTTTTAGATGTCTGTAGGGATATTTTTCCAAATATTTTCTACATAATGAAATAAATTCTTTTTATTTTTAAAGGTTTTTGTTGCCAGTTGTCTTTAAACATGCTCCCAGTGAAGTTAAGAAAAAGGGAACATGTGTTTACTAAGAATATCTTTGTAAAGTTTTTGATCCATTTTCCCAACAATTTTAATAAATGGACCCATTCCGGAACCAGAAAAACAGCCCCAAACCATGATGTTGCTTCCTCCGTGCTTAACTGTTGGCGACTCATACAAATGTGCCATACCGTCAGATCCAAACAAGTTAAATTTACTTTCATCATTCCATAAAATATTTTGTAATATATTGTAAATGACACTTTCTAGTTAGGTCTTTACATATGGAGTGGAGCTCACAGAATTCAGTGTAATCCTCAGTGGATGCACTACAACAACAACAAATCTGTTTAGGCATTAATTAATAATGTTAACGTTTCTAAAAGCTTTCGATTTAAGGGCCTTACCTATGACTAGGAGTTTTTCTTTTTTAACCGCCATATTTACACAGTGCAAAATTGTAAACCTCTCTTTGGGATATTTACCCCCAACACATTTTTCCTTCTGTAATGTGAGCGTTTTGTCGGTGAATCCCGGTTTACTTGAGAAAGTCGTAGCGAAGATGATGCGCGGGATTGAGAAATGCAAAAGCGATACTCTCAACAGAAAACAAATAAGACAAGGCGCTTGTTGTTATTTTGTTTTTTGTCCAGTTAGGGGAGACTATGCAAATTATATGAGACTCGGTCTCGACCATGAGAAACTTTTCGTTTAAAGCAGTTGTCCGTGGAAATTTCACTGTAAACATTAAATGTATATAAAATATAAATGTTGAACATGTGAGATCCCTAACTAATTTCTAATTACTATTTCAAGTACTCTGTAAAAAAGTAATTGTAGGCAGATTTTGGTTTAACATAAAGAATAACCTCTGAATATTGCTAAATCATTAAGGAAGACCCTTTATAAATTGATAGGTGCTGCTGCTCCATTAAATGAAAATCCATGCACTGACAAAAGGTTTTGGTTATGCTGAGTCATGGTTACTCCACCACTCATCAGCTTAGTACAATATAGACTACTAACCAGTACAACACTTTTTGAATATTACTGCCAACTGTGAATAGTTAGGAGGATGTTAGGAGTTTTTAAAAAGAATGATGAACTAATAATAGAAAACAAAAAGAAAAAAATATTCATGGAAATAATTTTAGATCTATGCTATAGGTCTAGTGGGAAAGTTCACTTTTTTAAGGAAGAAAAAAAATACAAACTTAATGAAAAGAAAATATTTATTACTATCAACATATTCGTAAATTCGGGGAGTTTTATTTCTTAAATATCGGACACACTCTTATAATTGCGCGCTCAAATTCTGAAACACTCTCTGTGATGTTGTTTATTTCTCGTCGAATGTTGTCTTTAAGCTCCTCCAGTGCTCGTGGATTGTTGGAATATACTTTTGACTTTAGATAACCTCGCAAAAAATAATCGCATGGCGTGAGGTCTTGTGACCTAGGAGGCCAGAGATGTCTCCAAACTTTGATATAACTTTTTGAGGAAAAAATGCTTTCACTGTATCCATTGATTCTCTGGAAGTATGGGCAGTGGCTCCATCCTGTTGAAACCATGTGTTTCTGTTCTTACAATAAGTGCAAAAAAGCGTCAATCATGTCCTTGTATCGCTCAGAATTGACTGTCAATGCATGTCTAAAATAACCTTTGGACTATGTAGCTGTTGTGGATGTTTATCTTTTGCGTTCGATGGTGCCCAATAACTGCAATTTTGTTTGTTCACTAACCTTCTAAGTGAAAATGTGCCTCGTCATTGAAAACAACGTTCTCGAGTCTGTGCTGCGTAGAAAAAAGATTCAACATCCGTTCAGCACAAGATTTCCGTAATACGTAATCACTTTCCTTCAAAGCATGGACTGTTTGGATTTTATAAGGATGAAAAGCCATTTTTTATGCCACGCAGTGTTGACCTAAGTATTCCAAAAGCAGCGGAATGCTTCCGTACAGAACGCAGAGGATTTGCAATGACCGAATCACTTAGTCGACGCACATTTTCTTCAGTTGATGCACTAGGTGTGGGGCCAGGAATGGGAACCTCTTAATCCACTTTTTCAATAGGTTCTTACTCGGGGCATCTCTTGGTCGGCGAATGTTGTATCGTGTAAAAAATTTCCGAAGAGCAGCTGCGTATAAATCACCACTCGTAAAGTAAGCCTCGATAGCAAAAGCACGTTGCGCTGCGGTCCAACGTTTTATTGTGACTATTTAACCTGCACGCCGAACGCGACGATCAAGAACTCTCCCCACTTCCTCGTGTATACGGTTGCCGCGTAATTACAATGTGAAATGTGAACTTTCCCACTGGACACCCTGTATCATATTAAAGCTTTGTTACTTTCTAGCTTTTCTGGTCACACAATTTTCATTACAGTCTGCTGTAACTATTTAACAATGTAGAGCAAGCAATTAGAGGTTAGAAAATATTTGAATTACAATCAGATATTTCTCTTCCACTACTAGAATAAATCGAGTTATATTTCGCGTCGAGCCTTAAAAGTGAAATAGCCATGTTATAACTTAACGGGTTTTAATAATGACTTCTGATTTCAAGTTCACACTTTTCGCTAGTTACTTTCAAAATCTGTAATTTATCATATTACGCGATTTAGCTTAACAAAAGAGGAATTGAAATTAATTTTTTTCTGACGTCAATTTACATATTTGACCAATCATTGACAGGGCAGCCTCTGCCTTAACTCCAACGGCAGAGGCAAAATATGCCTCCATCATCTAGAACTGTTCACAGTTTATTTTTTGCAAACAAAAACGAAGCTGCATAAAATAATAAACTGCACTGTTATTTATTTCAACTTTTAATCACCTCTTTTTGCTAGCATAGCTTGTAGTGTCAATAGAATAGTTTACAGAAAACACAAAAAGTTGATGTAACGTTTTACACTGACGCTAAAAGTGTTTGGATAACGAATATGATGAAGCTGTGGCACCTTATTCACAATGATTTTATCGTTTCAAATTTATCAGACTAACGATGTTCTAAAAGTTTTGGCACAAAATATTTATCGGGTTTTTTTAATGAAGTAATTTATTTAAACACTAACTAGTTGTCATACATTACAACTCAATACTCTACCAGACGCAACTTTCTTCTAATGTCTGTCATAAGGTCCTGGACGCAATTCAGATCAGTTTCTTCCAGCCCAAAAATCCTCCCTTGGGCGAGCCTGCGGCAAATTTGGAGGATTATCGTTTTTCTGAACAATAGACAAACTGAAGCAATTTGGAAAGGCAGTAATCAATATAGCTCTGACTATTCAAGGCTTCTTCCCTCACTGTTCCCACAAAAGGTTGAGACACACTGCTGTTAGAAATTGCGCACCAGACAAGGATTTTATCTGCAAATTTCGCGTTATGTTTGTATCTAAGATTGTCAGGACATTCTTCTACGTTGTCCGTATAAAATCCGTCGTTTCCCTTTATTTCAGAATTACTCAAAGTGAAATACTTTTCGTCATCTAAAAAAATGATTTTTCCATTGGCAAAGTGTATCGGCCTCAGTTGACGACAGCATCTTGGTATACGTAGGAGTTGCACCTGAGTCTCTTTCGATATTTAAGATCATTCCTCCCCAATTCCAACGATATCGTATTCTTAGAAGATCTGGATTGACGAGCCAGTCTCGTTGTTGACATTCCAACCTGACTTTTTGCTCTTCTCATCAATCTCTCTGACCTCTGTGCAGTAAATGCAGGTGGTCTTCCAGCTTTTGGGAGATTCAGACATGGTACTCCCTGCTCGCACTCCGCTATTGCTCTTCGTGAAATGTTTCCAATCTGAAATATTCGACAGATTTTAGCTTTCTAATTTATACATCTTAAAGGCAAAACTTCAAAATAAATTAATGTCAACTGACACTAAAGTAAGTAAACAAACTGTTGTTCCCAAAGCCAATGAAGATGGTTATATAAAAGTCGACTACTTGTAAAACTGACTAACATGACTTCAGTTTGTTTGGAGTAGCAGTGAAAGTCTGCCTCTATAGCTTCCATAGAACATATCAATTATTCCTTAATCTTGTCTCATAGAGATTGGCTACTGGGACTTGAGAATGGTTCCGGGATCATCATCCGTAAATGAAGCTATCATATGTGTTACGATTGATCATCATTTCCTTTATATTTTAACAGTCAACATGAAGCATATCTTCACTGATCAAATATGATAAGTTGACAGGAGATCGTTTTAACTAATACGAACAATCAATATCATGTGGTATCTAAAACTTGAACTACTCAATCTGCAATGTATTCTACTCCAATGCGATGTTTGACGCTCAGAAGCCTTTTATGAATTACTGTGAGAGTTGGAAGTTAATCTTCAGAAGCCTGTGGTCGAAAACTTACATTAAGTACCGAGTGGGGTTCTAATGTATCCCAACGTGTTTTTGAATAATTTTTTTTAATTTGTAGTTAATCAAAAATAAACACTCTAATTAAAAAAATATATCTTTATACATTTATAATATGAAATCATTGTAATATAAAATCTGTGACATTTTAAATAACAACTTATTTATCATACTTTTTTCAAACTTACATTTTTTGAATGGTCTGCACATATGTAATGTTTGCATCGAATACAAAACTTTCGAGATTTCCTGTCTTCACGTCTGTCGCATAAGAAACATCGCTGCTGTCTGCCAATAATGGGAACTGGTTGTTCATTCCTTACATTTAATTCTGGCAAAATGGTTAACATGGATTGTTTTATATTGGAATGTAAAAGCTTGTCATTGCAGTATCTACGAATTATAGTTTTTCTTATTAATTCTTGGCCCAATTTCAACAAAACATTCTTATTCTATTCAAACGATTTCTTTCAAATCTGAATTTCTCAACACCCATAGCTTATAGGTGTTGATGCCACCAATGTCCAGTAGATGGAAAAATATTGCCATAGGCCACCGATTGCTCTTTCTTTGAGTCGTGAATTCCTTTGCCAATTTATATGTAGTATCCATTGCACCCTTTGTTTTGTTCTAGTGCAAAATGATGCCTGGTTTGTGCTTACATGCCTGCCATTACAGACCAAGCGGGGTGCAACTGAACCGCAAGGTACAAAACTCACTATAACCGGTTACAATAAATAGCAATTTCTTAAAACTTTTTTATACTAAATTAGGAATATATTTAAGAAACATACCTCGAAGCAAATTCAGTTAAATGAAATATTCCAGAAAATACCCCCAAAAATTGATGTCTGGGGTGCAACTGCACACCGCTTGGGCTTATGAAGGTTAATAGTTGTTAGTTATATTTAGTAAGAATAATATTTTTTTCTAATATAAAACAGTATCACTGTCTTTTCACATTCAAGCCTCTTTAGCATGGGGTTTATAAATTAAACCTGAGCTACTTAACAACTTTTCTCTAAGAATATTGGATGGTTGTGGCAATAAAAATATGTGTGCTATTAGTGGCGATAAAATTTTCAACAACATAAATATGTTTTGAATGCATCGACAGCAGCGCCACTTCGCGATTTACACCGCATCCGCATGGAAATCTGTATTGATAAATGCGGATGCAAATCCGGATGCGAATGTCCGCAACAACCCTAGTCAGAAGTGTACCACTCTGATTTATTTATTACTAAGCCTTTTGGTATCAGTCTATTGGCTTCGAAAATGTCGAAATTTATATTTGTAATGTTTCAAAAAACTCCATTAGTGTTCCAAATACAAAGGGTACTATAAAAGTTCTGCAATAAGGCTTAACAAACGGACGCAGGAGACTGCATGTTACTGCATCTTGAGACATGTCCATGAGTGCATAGTAGCCGCCAGCTAAATGTTTTTTAGTAAGGTTTCTGCACAGGAAATGCAAACCATTATAGCCAGTCTTCCAAACAAAAAATGAAGTGGCACCGATGGTATTTCTACGCGTGTCCTCAAAATTGTCCGTAACGAACTTGCAATTCCGGTAGCTGTTCTCATCAACATGTCTCTCTATCAGGGCGTATTTGAAGTTAGCTATAGTTATAACTGTCTTCAAGAAAGGCGATCTTCAGCTAATGGACAACTACCGACCGATCTCTATTCTATCCGTATTTTCTAAAATTTTTGAGAAAATAATGCACACCAGAATAACCAGTTTTGCAGACTATTCTAATTTATTAAATAATTCCCAGCAGTCCAGATCTGTAGAGACGGCGGCATTTGAATGTGTCAGCCATATCAACAAAAAGTTGTTATTTATTTCATTTGTCAATGATTTCGTAATAAACTACGCTGATGAGACCTCAGGAGTAGTAAGTGGTACTACATTTGAGGAACTTGTTCATAACATCACCCTAGTGGAAAGTGAAATACAGCTTTGGTGCCAACAGAATCGCTTGATTTTAAATACCGACAAGACTGTTATCGTTCTTTTTAATACTTATAGGTCACAACTTCACGACTTTGCGGGGACTTTTTTCGGTATAATTATGGGTTCCAAACTCACTTGACAAATGTATATTGACTCAATATTTAAATCTTTCAACAAGTCATATTTTGCCATCTTAAAATTGAAGCACTATGAAACACAGGCAGTGTTGCTTAATGTTTACTATGTGATGGTATACTCTCATCTAATAAGAGCCATAATAGTTTGAGGACAAGTCCGTATTGTGAACAGAGCATTCATAATTCATACTTAGGCGTGAATGTTGTAGGTCTTCATTCAAGAGTAATGATCTACTAACACTTCCGGCTGTCTGCATCTTTAACTGCTCTCTACATGCATTCCACAACAAATGTAGGTTTGTTGAAAATAAAGATGTAAATGTGGCATGGATTTGAGCATACCATCACACGCATTAACAATATTTGAAAAATCACCTGAGTATGCCTGTATAAAAATATATAAGCTTCCCTCTGACCTTAAAAGACTTCAGAATGTCATAGTCCTTAAAAAAGCCTGAGGAGGTATCTTGTGGAGCTGTGCCTCTACTCAATAACAGGCTTTTTATGAGTGTGTCATTCATTCTTTATTATAAATTTCGAGCAACCATATGACTCGAACCAGCTTAAACTTGTACTGAAGGCGGGACCGGATCTGTCTCCCCTCCAAGCCCAGTGCCTCCAGTGTTGCCATATAGAACGCTACGTCGCCGGTCTCATCACTTAATTTACAGACCTCGTATGTACTCCTTGAAGGAGGTTATTCATTATTTGTAATATTTGAGATATATACTCACTGTATGATAGCTGTTACTAATTTTTCTGTAACAATTTATATAGCGTTCACGATGGAACAAGACATCATCGACTACGACATGGACTCTGAGGACGAACGATGGCTGCACCAGCAGAGCAACAAGTTGGATTTGACCGAGGAGAAGTTCGAGGAAATGATGGATAGGTTGGAGAAGAGCAGCGGCCAGACGGCGGTCACGCTCAACGAGGCTAAGGCATTGCTCAAGGAGGATGACGATCTCATCATTGCTATATTCGATTACTGGCTAAACAAAAGGTTGAAGATGGTAAGTAAACTTTTTAACATTTTATATCATCAATTCGATTTGTACTTTGGTTACCGAGGTAGCCGAGATGTCAGTGAATTAGTCCATTCTACTCCTGGGGTTTCATTGATTGGCCAGGGTAAGGGAGATGGATAAGTTACAACTTGAAGTAACACTTTAGATTGTATGTTTTCCCTTTCATCTTCACGTGGCCTTTTCAAGGTCATAATCAAAGACTAGGAAACAACCACGACTTTTCTGTGCGCTTGAGAGGCAAACAGTTCTATTGAGGTTTTTGACCAAGGTTCTCTGATCAATGATCATAAATTAGATTTCACTGATCATATAAGGCAAATCGCTTACTCAGGTAGCAAACATTTTCTTCATTATTTCATTATAAGAATAAGGTACAGTGTGTGTCCAGTGGGAAATTTCACTTTTTGATCTAAGAAAAAAAATATAAACTTAATGAAAAAAAAATGTTTATTACTATCGACACATTCGTAAATTCGGCGGGTTTTATTTCTTAAATATCAGACGCACTCTTCTAATCGCGCGCGCAAATTCTGAAGCACTCTTGCAGAGTTCCGGAGTGATGTTGTTTATTTCTTGTCGAATGTGGTCTTTAATCTCCTCCAGTGTTCGTGGATTATTGGAATACACTTTTGTCTTTAGATAACCCCACAAAAAATAATCGCATGGCGTGAGGTCGAGTGACCTAGGAGGCTAGTGAATGTCTCCAAACTTCGATATAACTTTTGCGGAATGAGTGCTTTCACCGTGTCCATCGATTGTCTGGAAGTATGGGCAGTGGCCCCATCATGTTGAAACCATCTGTTTCTGTTAAATCGACGTTCTGTTTTTACAATAGGAGCATAAAAAGTGTCAATCATGTCCTTGTAACGCTCGGAATTGACTGTCCATGCATGCCTACTCGGTAGGCAGCAGCGGTGGCCCCAGTGGTAGAGAAATTTTTCTCTTTGCTATGGATGTTGTGATTGTCCATAGGTGGTAGACGGAAAACCAATTTTTTTCTTCATTATGCTATGCAGTGTTGACCTAGGGGTTCCCAAAGCAGCGGAATGCTTCCGTACAGAACGCAGAGGATTGGATTGACTGTTTTACGGAACCTCTTAATCCACTTTTTCAATAGTCTCTCACTCGGGGCATCTCTTGGTCGGAGAATATTGTATCATGTACAAAATTTCCGAATGGCGGCTGCGTATGAATCAGCACTTGAAGTAAGCCTCGATAACAAAAGCACGTTGCGCTCCGGTCCAACGTTCCATTGTGACTATTTAACCCGCACGCCGAACAGGTCGATCAAGACCTCTCCCCACTCCCTCGCGTAACGGTTGCCGCGTAATTCAAATTTGAAATGTGAACTTTCCCACTGTACACCCTGTACAACGCAGATTTAAGCTGTTGTTACTTTGCCTTATTTTAAAGTAGACAGATTGCTTATTCTACAAAAATGAACAGATAAAAGACTAAAAGCAATCCTAGAGATACATGCAGGCCTTTATTTGTAAATCTTAAAATGATAACTATCATATAAAGTTTATTTGTCTTTAGCTATCGGTTAATGACCAGCACAAGTTTATCTATTTGGGGTTTTCGTGTTTATTGTACAATTGAATAATTCGAATGTATGTAAATTATTCTTTTCCTACAATAAACCACTACTACTACTATATCATTGTCCATTTTAGAAACAGCGACTCTTATTTTCAAAAATTAATCCAAATTTGAAACATTAAATATAAGTTGCAGTATTAAACGAAAACAAGATCTTGAATTTTTAATACCCAAAACAACACTTGTGAAAGACTTAGTAATTTATAATGGTCTGAAAATTTACATGCGTCTCCCTGATGGAGAAGAAAGGAGCAATTAATAATTTAAAGATATTCCGCCGTGAACTTAAAAACCTTTTCTGCAATTCATTTAAGATCCACATATGTAACTAAAGGGTTGTCCAATAGGGACGCAGGAAAGTAAACGTCAATTTGACATAGACGCCATCTTTGTTTTCTGTCACCGACATGTCATTTTGTTAGTTGAATGTTTACCATTGATCGCTATGGAGTCGTATTCGATTGAAGACCGCATTAAAGTTATTCAAGAGCAGTACAAAAATGGTGCAAAAATAAAAAACACGTTTCGCGCGCTTCGTGAACATTTCGGTCGCAACAACCGCCCAAACGAAACAACCATCGGTCGTCTGGTGCGTAAATTCGCCAGGCTCTGGCCGGCCAAGGAGCGTTCGCACACCGGAAAATATTGCTGTTGTGAAGGAGAGTGTGAGAGACGATCCGAAACAATCGACAACGCGTCGATCCCAAGAATTGGGCATTTCAAGAACCAGTTTGCTCCGCATTCTCCACAAGGGTTTGAATGTACACGCTTACAAGATCCAATTGACGCAAGAGCTGCGTCGGGCCGACCATTTTTCGCGCCGAACGTTCTCAGATTGGCTCCTTGAACCCCGCCAAATTGATGCCAATTTTTCATCAAAAATCATATTCAGCGACGAAGCGCATTTCACTTTGAATGGGACGGTAAACAAGCAAAACTGCCGCATCTGGGCGAACGAAAATCCCCGTGAGTATCAAGAGCAGCCGATGCATCCTCAAAAAGTGACTGTGTGGTGAGCATTGTGGTCAAAAGGCATCATCGGACCTTACTTTTTCGAAAATGCGGCCGGGGACGCCGTTACCGTTAATTCTGAGCGATATCACGGGATGATAGAGGACTATTTTTTGCCGCAACTTGAAGGAATGGATATGGACGATGTTTATTTCCAACAAGACGGTGCAACATGCCACACAACCAACCTCAATATCCATCGATTGCAGTCCTTCTTCGGTGATCGCGTGATTTCGCGCAGAGGAAATGTGCCATGGCCACCAAGATCGTGCGATTTGACTCTCTTGGACTTCTTTTTATAGGGATATTTGAAAAGCAAAGTCTACGTCAACAAACCAGCCACCCTCCAAGAACTCAAAAACAACATCATTGCCGAGATAAATGCCATAGAACCGACCATGTTGCAAAATGTCATTGAAAATTTCGACCATCGCGTGGACGTCTGTAAATCCAGTCGTGGTGAACATTTGAGCGATATTATTTTTCACATAAATGGTATAAATGAACCTTCAAAATAAAGTACCCAACTTGATTTGAATATCAATCTTTTTTGTTTTAATATGCGTTTACTTTCCTGCGTTCGTTTTGGACAACCCCATATGTTATAATTTAAAGTTGTTATTTGTAACAGTATTTTTAGACTTCAAATGAGATTGATAGGGAAAATTGTTAATGAAATTACATCACTGTGGTTTTAAAGGATTAGTAATCAACATTTAAAAAAATTATTTAGTAAATAGAAGTAAAAAAAACTAAAAGCAATGAGAATCATTTTAAATAAAAATAAATATGCTAAGATTAAGTCTACATATGTTAGAAGAACAGTTGTTGAATGTAAAAAATTCTACATATTATTTAGTTCTCGTTTTCATACTCAAATTAAAAATTATTTATTACTACCACAGTTAAAAAACTTCATACAATTGTCATAACTATGAAACTGACGCAGTATAGATTTTAATCTGCACAGTTGATATAGTAGCATAACTAGCAAATTTCTATTTTAAAAGGGAGTATTTAAATTTAATAAATTGAATAATGATGTTAAACAGCGTTCTGATTTTAAAGTGTTCAAGTTGAAATAAAAAATCACTTAATGATGTAATTTTAATATACTAGAATGTAAAATTACAGAAAATTAATTCAAAAATGTGTAAAGGAATAATTATACAAAGTTGACATTGTAGTATTAGCACTAAATGAATCTTCAAAAAACAAACAAAGAATGATTGTATTCTTCAGACAATAAAACAAATTTATCTATCTATAAGACTCAGTTCTAGCCGGCTATAGAATTACATAATAGAACTTCAGGAGCTTCTTAAATGGGTCGTTTCTTACTTGTAACTGCTTCCATTATAGATATGTATCTGCCCATCAGCCAATTTTAAATTAAGCAAATATCTATTTCCAGCAACATCCCTTGATATTGACGGTAAAAACGGAACAGCGGGCCGGTGCGGCTGCAAACAACCCTTATTTGGCGTTCAGGCGGCGCACGGAGAAGATGCAGACCCGTAAAAATAGGAAGAACGATGAGGCCTCCTACGAGAAGATGCTGAAGTTAAGGCGCGACCTTTGTAGGGCTGTCACGCTCCTGGAGCTTGTTAAACGGAGGGAGAAGATCAAGCGCGAGTACGTCCATCTCACCATCGAGGTATGAACATTCGGAGTTATGATATACATATTTAGCCATTGCGACATTCTGCGGACAATGACAAAAAAGTGAGTTTTTAAAAATCGTTCATATTGGGAATGTTTATACATCTAGGCACGTTTATTTGCTAAGTTACGGACCTGAAATTGTGAATTTTTTTTAGGTAATAAGAAATAGAAAGTATAAATGAGATAGTGGAATCAATCGAAGATGGGGATCCAAATCTATGTCACATGCAAGTTACTTATCATAATTCTTCTATGAGACAATTCGAAACAATAAATATCAGCCATCTTTCAAAAGCTATTACAAGATTGAAATCGAATAGAAATCCTAGTGAACATCTTTCAAAAATGGTTATGAAGGAATGTTTCAACATTATCGGAGAGAAGTTATTATTGTTAGTGAATCACTGTTTAGTGTATGGCGAATTTCCTTCAAAATTAAAATGTTCTACAATTACTCCTGTTCCAAAAGTGCAAAATTCTGAGTTATATACAAACATGCGGCCAATTAATGTACTGCCGATGTCGAGAAGCTCTTAGCAGGAATCATATATGAACAAGTCATTGAATATATTGAAGAAAATAAGATTGACAAAATATTATGCAGGATTCAGAAAAACTGAAACAGCAATTCAAATGGTAGTAGAAGAATGGCGGCGAAATGTGTATGAAAAAAGTTTACAGTAACATTGTTCTTAGATTTCAAAAGAGCATTTGAGACTATTGACAGGGAGAAATTGTTAACGAATTTGCATTGCTATGGATTTCAAGGTTCAGTATTCAACTTATTACAAAATTATTTAATCAATAAAAGTCAAAGAACTAAAGTTGGCAATACATTATCAAACATTAATAACATTTCGGTAGGTGTGCCACAGGGTAGCAAATTAGGTCCATTACTATTTATTTTTTATATTCACGATATTCCTGATATTTTTCAACACTGCAAAATTCAACTATTTGCTGATGATACATTAATATATACAGTAATGGACAAAAGTATATAGACAAATTAATATTGTGCTGTATTTCTTTTTTAACTTGTTTTATTAATATATCAACCTGTATACATAATTCGTTATAGCATAATACTCTTATACATAAATAAATTCATTAGACTCCCTTCAATAAAAAATTAATTGAAAAAAGCTGAAACTATGAAGGACAAAAATATATAGACAAAGCAAAACAATTATAGAAAAAAGAAGCAAAGTTCATTGAATTATAGAAAACCAACCATGTTTGTGTTAATATTTTGTAGCATAACCATTATTATCAATCATCGCCTGGCATCGTCTCGGCATAGATTGTAGAAGTTTCTTGATATAAGATTCATCAATCTGTCTCCACTTTTACTCTAAAGCGGCAAAAAGTTCATCCTTGTTTGAATAATTTTTATCTCATATTTGCTTATCTAAGTATTCCCATAGATCTTCAATGGGGTTTATATCGGGAGACTGTGAAGGCCGTTTGAAAACTGGTATTTTTTCATCCTGAAAGAATTTCTTTGCGAGATTTGAAGTGTGCTTCGGGTCATTATCTTGCTGGAAGATTGATCTTAAGCGCATATTGTCTTCCATATAGGGTAACGTGTCATGCTTTAGTATGTCTGTGTATACAAACTTATCCATAATGCCATCTATTCTATGTAAAGGTCCCATCCCAAACCCCGAAAAGTATCCCCAAACCATAACAGACAATGTTTGACAGTGGGCAAAGTGTACTTGGAGTTCAATCTTTGTCCACTAGGACGTCTAACTAATGAAGACCATCTGATCCAAATATATTGAACTTGGATTCGTCACTGAAACATATCCTCTTCCAGTCACAGATGCTCCAATCGGTTTTTCCTCGAGATTAGCGGCTTCTTACTCGGGCGACGTGCAAATAACTTCAAATCATTTAATCTTCTACTTATAGTTTTCGAAGAAACACTGACAATTCCTTTTGTCTCGATTTGGGCTTTTATTTGTCTTGGGGTTTTAAACGGATCGTTGGACGAAATGACTTTTATTAAATCTAACTGATCAAGCATTTAGTTTTCTAGGCCGATCACTTCTCTTAGAGGCTTCCAAGATAAATCTTCGTTTATATTTGTTCAATATTGCACAAACTGCTTTATTCTTCAGCTTCAAATTTTTGGCAATGTCGACTTGACGTTGACCATCTTTGTATAACTGAATGATCTTTGTTTTCACATCGAAAGAAATTTCTGGACCACGCGGCATGGTCTTAAAATCACTCAACTTATTCCACAATACTTGATGAACACAAACTAATCCTCTTCTGACACGAAACTGTACTAAACTAATGTTGAAAAGAATTTGTCTACATATTTTTGCCCCTCATAAAAAAGTGCTTATATTCAGACTTGTATTGTGTTCATTGCGGACAATGTAAAAACAAGGAATTTAGTTTTTCTACTAATGCATTTGTTTATGGAGCAATGAAGTATGAATTCTATTCCTAAAGGTATATAAGTAAATATACATATTTGTCTATATAGTTTTGTCGATTACTGTATATCAAATAAAGAGTTTGTAACTTTAGTAGAGCTGTTAAATAATGATATGAAAAACATAAGTTGGTTAAGTGTAAGTAAACTTAAACTAAACACAAACAAAACATAATATATGCTAATAGGAAAATCTTTTGAATATTTGGGCATATACGTAGACAGTAAATTAAAATTTGAAGGGCACTATGAATTAATTATTTCAAAAATATCCAAGAAAACAAATTACTTTTCTTTTCTTCCTCATTTGTTATATTGTTGTACTATTTTGTTCACTGCAAATGAAACTGTATTTTCAAAATTACAAATATTACAAAATCAAGCTATGAGAATCATCTTAAATAAAAATAAATATACTAGAATAAATTTTATGCTGAAAGAACTACAATGGTTAAAAATCAAAAATTTGATAGCCTACTTGGTTTTCATTTTCATATTCAAGTTACAAAATCATCTTCTACCAAATCACTTAGAAAATGTTATTGTATTGAACAATGAGTGCCAGAATTATTCTACTAGAGGAAGTACGAGTATATACTTTCATTTACAAATTGCAGTATCAATATAACGAGCAAGTCAGTATTTCAAAAGGGATTGTACGAATTTAATAGATTAAGAAATGATATCAAGATGTGTGTCAGTTTGAAAATGTTCAAAGGGAAATTGAAAAAATATCTCATTGAAAACCAGAATGCATAGTAGTGAAATTTTGTATAAAAATATGTAGTCTTGAAGACATAATATATTTTGTGATATACAGGCGTCCCTCGTTTTACGCGGGGTATATCGAAACAAAAACATTTTATTACATAAATTTTTGTTAAATACATAATATACATAGGTATGTTTGTACATATTATGTATGAGAACATTAAACGTTAATTTTTTAACACAAATATTCATTTTTAGAAAAATAAGACGTAATTTTTGACTGTTTAGCTTGTTGCGTAAATTCTTCTCAACTTCCTTGTATGGTACCAATGCTGCAAAAACCTCTCGTTTAGTTTTCAAACTTCTTTCCATTGTAGGATCTTCCCTGATTAACAGCTCGGTGAGATCGTGTGCCATGGTAAAACATTTATTAAGCATTTTCAACGTCAACTCCTTTGGTACCGGGAATACTTCATCATCTTCACATTTTTCTTGAGCTTCATAATTGTTCTCCGTCAGTTCTATGAGTTCGCTTTCAGTGTGTTCAACATTATGCGATTCAAATAGCTGATTTATCGTCGAATCCCTCTCCAGGTAATGACTTTCCTAAATCAGCAATTTCTTTGATTTCGTCTCTGATATCAGGCATCTTCGCATGAGACTTCACAATTTCTGGACATAAGTTTTTCCAGCAACCATTTAATGTCGATCTTTTAAGTTCACCAATCGATTCTTTATTATTATGTAGGCAATCTGCAATTGTGTAATCCTTCCAGCATTGGCTTAATGTTTTTGTAGGTCACGTTCCAAGTTTTCTAACAGCATTTTAAACGTGCGTCGCGTGTAATAAGCTTTGTAGATGGCAATGATTCCCTGATCAAGAGGCTGTATTATTGATGTGGTGTTTGGTGGACGAAATTCTACTCGAACATTGGGATTTATTTCCTGTAAACGGGCGGCTGGGTGACCAGGGACATTATCTATGAGTAATAACACCTTAAATTCAAGATTTTTTAGACGTCAAATAACGTTTAACCTCTGGTATAAAACAGTTCTCAAACCAGTCTGAGAAAATGTCTCATGTTACCCATATATGACCATTGGCACGCCAATACACAGGCAATTTATTTTTATCTTTCTTTTTAAAGCACGGGGATTCAATGACTTGTACACTAATAAAGGCTTAATCATACAATCTCCAGAAGCATTTGAACAAAGCAAAAGTGTGAGACGATCCTTTGCTACTTTAAAGCCCTGTGCGGTCTTCTCCTCTTTTGATAAGAATGTACGGTTTGGCATCTTTTTCCAAAACAAGCCAGTTTCGTCCGCGTTAAAAACCTGCTCAGGTTTAAAACCTTCTTCTTCAATGATTTTTAAAAGTTGCCCAGGATATTCCCTACTAATCAGGTCATGCCCGATTGCACGTTGAAACCACGCGGTGACGCGATGCAACCGCGTATAAGTGAACCGCGTAAAATAAATCACTGGTCACAAAAGCGCAAACGCGTATAAGCGAAACCGCGTGTAAATATGCCGCGTAAAACGAGGGACGCCTGTACTGGTAATATGGATATTATGGACATTGTAGCATTAATGCTAAATAAATCTGAAACAAACAAACTCTGGCACGGCCATCATGTGTGCCCAAACAGAATCTGGACTCATCGCTGAATCCGACTGAGATCCGTTCCATATTCAATTCAAGTCTCTCGCTTCTCCATGCCAATCGTTGCCGACGATGCTTTGAGGTCAGAGGTAGTACAAGACGGGGACCGTATGAAAACAGTCCAAAAGACCGTATTCTGTGATAAACTGTCCGCACTGTTATTGCCCTTGCGACAGCATCAAACCACTGTTCCGCAACTGCCCTTGTTGTGGAAAATCGATCTCTAAGTGCTAGATGCCTCAAAAAACGATCCTGACTTTGATATCCAATATCTCTAACTCGTCGGCATTCATGGAATTACGCTCGAAAACATCTCATTACAGTAGCTTCGTTTCGATTCACTTGATTAGCGATTTCTCTAAAAGAAAATCTGGCTTGTGGAAACCCGATTATCCGACCGTTCTCAAACTCGGAAAGTTGAGTCAAATTAGCGCGTCTGTGGACTCTAGACATGATAATGCAATGAAATAACAATGAAACAAATGGAACCGTCACAGAAAAATCACTGAATACAGCAGACGCTCGATAATGTAAGCTAATTTAATCCAAGTGTGGTTCACATCGAAATGTTTACATTAGCGAACGTGATTTATATAATATTTGATTTATTAAAAGAAACGTTTAATACATACTATTTATAACAAAATAAACAAATATTCTAACAACGATAAGTATTTTTTTAATTAGAAGAAAAATAATTAACAATTTTTGTCTGCGTAAATTTGCGCTTAGCATTGTCTTCCAATGCCTGCGGCCGCAATTTACGAAGAACTAAAATATCCGTGTATGAAACTTCTTTTCTTTCAGCCCAATCTAAAGCTTGGTTAAAAACTTGTATAGCTTGCGCGTCAGTCACTACACTTCTGATTTCAATGGGATCGTTATCATCATCCTCACTGTCCATATCCTCCTCCTTATCAGCATCATTCGTCTGCTTATCTTCGTTCCATAAATTAATATCAGCAGGAGCACAAACAATGTTGGGATTCACAATAAATCAACAACATCCAATGACACACTAATAACATTATCATTATTGGATCGCAAACGTTCTCTAATTACGCTTAAGGGGACATCGTCTTCTTCATCATCTTCATTATTGGTACAAAAGAGATTGTTCCAACATTTTTGAATAGTTCGCTGGTTAAGTTCATTCCAGGCCATATCTAAATCTAAAGCACATTCTCGTAATATTACTTTTTTTAAAGCCTCAGATAAGTTTTCAGGATTCTTTGATAAGACAGACGAAAGTAGAAACTTCCTATAGTATAGTTTGGTGAGTCTTATTATATTCTGGTCCATCGGTTGAATTAACGGTGTTACGTTGGGCGGCATGTACATGACGAAAATTTACCCATCCCTGCTCCTCAGTTGTTGCTCGGGAGGATGACTTGGTGCATTATCCAATAGTAACAACGCTTTTATTGGAAGCTTCTGTTGTTTTAGGAAACCTTTTACCTACAAATTGAAAACACATCTTCAAATTATGAATAGAGCATTTGTGATAATTGATTGTCATACCTGAGGGACAAAGCACCTGTGGAACCATTTCAGGAATATACTGCTAGTCATCCAAGCGGTTTTTGAACAGTCATAATCAACATTTTTACATGAGCGCGGATTTTTTGCTTTCCCAATTACCAGTGGCTTTATTTTGTGTGAACCATTAGCATTAGTGCAGGCTAGAAACGTTATTCGTTGTTTCTCCGGCTTTCTTCCCGGGGCAGATTTTTCAAATGATGCAGCATAGGTTTTCTCTGGTAACATTTTCCAATAAAGGTCACTTTCATCTGCGTTGTAAATTTGTTCCATTCTTAAATCTAGCTCGGTAATTGTTTTCATCAATTTTTCTTTGAATGGTTGCACTAATTGTGGTTGTGCTGATAATTTTTCACCAGATATAGACAGTAGTCGAATTCCATATCTTGTTTTGAATCGTTGTAGCCAGCCATCACTAGCTACGAAATTTTCAGTTTCTTTCTGTCTCTAACTGAGACATGATTTTCCCGTTGTTTTAAAAACCACTTATACAGGGAATTTTCCATTTTAGGTGCCTTCGCATTTTTTAAAGTTTTTCTTTTTCCCGGACCTCCAAATGTATTGCACGTTCTTTGTAAAATTTGAGTTTTCATACGCTTAATTTTACAGATTGTTGCTTTCGATACTCCATATTTTTTTGCTAACTGTGTCACTCCCGCACCTAGTGCAACTTCGTCTATGATTTTCACTTTCTCACTCAACTTTAAACACTTTCTTTTATAGGATGTGGATGCCATAGTCGTAAAATATATTAACGGGTGCAACGTATTCACTTAAGTTCAAAAATGAAATACATACGTACGTATAAACGTATCCTAAACGATCATACGACTGACCGAGTTTGTCGTATTTTATCGCAGAGGTGAATCCCCTACACTCTACATCATAAATCGGGGACTCCCCGACGCCCGACATAAATCATCGAGGCTTCAGCATTTTGTTTACGTTATCGCGCGTTCCGTTTGATCCAATGGAACGAAGTTTGTCTTTACATTAGCCCAAGTTTTCATTATCCCGTGTTTACGTTATCGAGCGTCTGCTGTATTAAGTAAACATGTTCATATTGTTCAGATCCTGATATGACAAAAAAACCTTTACAAAAACAGTACGCTTCGGAATACCTTCAACATTTTATCAGCGTATACTTCCATGATATATTTACAACTTTTTATCAAAATTCAATAAATAATTCTGGATGTTGCATTTCATAGGTCACTTAGTATATATTTTTTGTATCAGGTATTCGAGAAGCGGTATCATGCGAAAGACTTCAGCGGCGCTATCCTGGCCGAGGCATCGGCAGTCAAGACGTCCTCACGGCCTGCATTTACTCCTATCTTCCATAACCACTATACGAATCAAAGCTGGTCGAATAAGGCGATCCTGAAAGACGAGGTAAGTATTCATACTTTTCATTTGAGCAATGATGATTTGGAACACACCACACTCTTCAAAAGTAATACATTAATTCAGATATTGAAATGTTGTAATGTCAGTTGCGCTTACAATGTCGCACATACCCATACTCAGTAAATTATACGAGGGATGTCTTTTAAGTTTTGCATATGGAAATAAAACAACACGGTGGGTAGTTTTAAATGACTTTCTTGTTTTTCGAAGTATTCTCCACGAAGATTAATACACATCTGCATGCGCTCGATCCAATTTTCGAAGCACTCGTTTGCTGGCAGATCCAAAACTGCATTTTTAAATGCGTCAACTGCCTCTTCTGGTGACTGGAACCCTTGACCACGCAGTCTGTTTTTTAATTTTCGGGAAAGTAAAGAAATCGTTAGGACTTAGATCGGGACTATATGGACGAAGGTCCAGTAATTCTACGTTTCCTTCCGTTAAATACTACCTTGATTTTGGGCTGTGTGCGAGCTTGCATTGTCTTGGTGGAGTATTTCAAAAAGTGCTCCTATAGCACCCTCGGCAATTAACTTCTGAACATACTTTATGAATTTCATTCAAAAATATTGAAAAATGGAGTGTCAGTTTCGAAGCAGCTGAACAGTTGTAAATGGAGCCACCTTAATCCTAAAATATGTGTAATTGTCAATGTAAATTTCCCGACGTGATGCGGCACCACAGCACCTACATATACTAAGTGACATATAAATCCGAACACCCAGTTTAAATGGTTTTATTTTAATAAAAGTGGGTGAATGTATTTATCTTACTGTAAATAACAAAATTTTCAGCCTTATCAGTTTGACATTCCGGTTTTTATACTGCTTTTTTTTAATTCACTAACGCTCTAAAAATGAATATTTCAGCCGCAGTAAAGAATGAACGTTGGCGGATTTTGGTTCTTGACATCCTTTACGATCGATTACGATGTCTACAGTACGGAGACCTGTACGATTTTGTCAACTTAGTGAGTTTGATAGGGGCCGTATAGTGGGACTTCGGGAAGCTGGACTTTCTTTTCGGGCAATTGCAGTTAGAGTGCAAAGAAGTGTAGACACTGTGGTTAGGTGTTGTCAGGCATGGCTTCGAGAAGGCCGTACGCAAAGAGCAAGGGGCACTGGACGCCGCCGTATAACAACAGACCGTGAAGATCGCCGCCTAAGATTATTGGCCTTAAGGGACCGTTTCTCCACTACCAGGTCCATTGCAAATGAATGGTTTGCAGAACACGGAAGACCTATTGGCATGCGAAGTGTTTACCGACGAATGAGAAGTTTTGGCTTGTTTTCATACCGGCCACACTGGGTCCTCCCCCTCCTGATGGGTAGGAGATTGCTCAATTTGCAACGTCCTCCTCAGACTCTAGAAGCACTTCGAGAGGAGTTGGTGGTTGCCTGGAATGAGATACCACAGGAGGACATTGACCGCCTGATCAGAAGCATGCCTAGGCGCGTTGGAGAATGCGTAGCACATCAGGGTGCATCCACACATTATTAAAGGTCAAAGGGCTTTAAAGCAGTGCAATCATTTTGAAATTTTATCATTTACTTATTATGCTTCATTAAGTACTTATACAAAATTTTATTAAAATAAAACCATTTAAACTGGGTGTTCGGATTTATATGTCACTTAGTATATTTATAATTTATATAGTCTAGCTAGACCGTTTTTGTTTCTCAGGTGTGTTCCGCGTTCGTGTTACAGAAGAGCGTATTATAATGCAAAGATTTTCAAAAACTTGAGCCATGTGCTAGATTTCAAGAATCACTATACACTACAAATCGTTCATATAGCGGGAAAACTACATACAGTAGACATCCATCTTGTGTTGTGTGGGCGATTCGTCGAACACATGTCAACATCGGAGAAAATTATCGCACGTTTAGCTATTATCGTACACGTAGTATCGTACATCGCACTGTACGAGGGGTCTTTTAAGTTTTGCATATGGAAATAAAACAACACGCTAGGTAGGTTTAAATGACTTTATTGTTTTTCGAAGTATTCTCCACGAAGATTAATACACATCTACATGCGCTCGATCCAATTTTCGAAGGACTTATTCCACTCGTTTGCTGGCAGATCCAAAACGGCATTTTTGAATGCGTCAACTGCTTCTTCTGGTGAGTGGAACCTTTGACCTTGCAGTCTGTTTTTAATTTTCGGGAAAGTAAAGAAATCGTTAGGACTTAGATCGGGACTATATGGAGGATGGTCCAATAGTTCCACGTTTTCTTCCGTTAAATACTACCTTGTTTTTTGGGCTGTGTGCGAGCTTGCATTGTCTTGGTGGAGGATGATTCTTTTTTCGGGGTTGATTTTTCGAAGCTCGGTGATGACTTTTGGCAAACAAATGGTGGTATACCAATCCGCAGTAACAGTTCTTTGCTCATTAAGAGGAATTGTTGCAATATGACCCGCTTTTGACACAAATGTCGCGACCATCTTTTGCGAAACACTTCGAGAACGGATGACTTTTGTTGGATTTTCTTCACCTTGGAACACCCAAACAGCCGACTGTCGTTTATTTTCTGGTTTATAACAGTAAATCCATGATTCATCACCACTAACAATGCTGTACACATTTTTTGAGTTTCCGGAATTGACACGGTCAAGCGTTTTTTGACACCAATTAACCCTGGCTGCTTTCTGCTCTTCAGTCAACAGGTGGGGTATCCAACGAGAAACTAATTTTCTTACTTCTAATTGTTCATGTAAAATTTTTTGAATTGAGGTCTTTGAGATCTTCAAGGACACCTCAATCTTTCGATATGTCACATGTCTATCTTCAATGATGAGTTTGCGCACAGCATTGGCGTTTTCCTGGGTGCCTGCCTTTTTTGGTGCACCCACCCTGGGATCGTCGCTAAAACTCACCCGTCCGGGTTTGAATTCTCCATACCAACGGGAAATGTCGACTGATGTGGCGCTTCGTTGCCGAAAACAGACAGTAACTCAGCAAGGCATTCTTGTTGCGAGAATTGTCTCTGAAAGTTGTAATAAATTATGGCGCGAAAATGTTCTCGGTTGAGTTCCATTTTTCTAATGACTCGGTGACACTTAAAAATTCACTGTATTGAGAACACTGCACATATTGTTGTGAAACTTTGAATTTACGGTTACTAAAGAGTGAGGTTAAGATTCAGTACTGACGTTCGATCCGCGCGGCGTACTATGTTTCTATATGCAAAACTTAAAATACATCCCTCGTAGTGGTCTCGAAAATCATTGTGTGTTCTTTATTATCTGTGGGGGAGAAGGACGAGGCTCATATTTATACTCGTTTGATTCGATTCGATTAGTCTGCTTCATTATGTGCCATACAGTTTCGATAATATCTAAATCAGGAATACTGGAAGGCCAGTCATAGACGGAAATATTATTCTGAAATTGTTTTTTTCGTGGTTTCGACCGTATGACACGACGCCCCATATTGTTGAAAAATAAAGTTTCTATCAGGTGATAAAATTGGAATTGACACTAGCAAATTGGTTTCAAGGGTATTTTGATGTTTAGCTGCGTTTACAGTTCCGTCTGTGAAGTTTTCCAACGCTAAAAGCAGATATGTTTCCTCATACCATTACAGCTTATGGAAACTTTAATTTTCTCTTTAGACAGTCTTCATTTTTGTATTTTATAACCCCGGGTCGGTGGTCACTCAAACATAACAATAATAATAGCGTCTATTTGCGGTCAAAAAATATACGTATACATAGGATATGAAATAGGGAAAAAACAAGAAATTACACTTACTGCAAAGGGGACCAGAAAACAGTCTAGACTGATCAAAGTACACCCAGTGACAAAACAAAACAGAGAGCACATTTTTATAACCGTTTACAGATAATACAATTTTAACCAAATCATTCCAAAATGACAAAAAAGAGAAAAAAAATGAAAGCACAATATGTTTCTGTAATCAAACTTTAACTTAAAACTCATACCCAGATGAGAAGGATAACACAGGAGAGACTAAACTCAATTCATTGTCTTATAAAAGAAAAACAATCAATTTTTAACATTACAAAAGTAAACAAACTTTTAGATAAACCCAACTAGCAAAGTAGTGCTATAAGCATTGTTACACAACACCTTATAGGACAAATTTTTAACTGTTGCATAAACGTTTATACAACTATTTTATACGGCATATTTGCAGGTTAGTGGGATCCATGGTAACGTTTATAAAACAAACACGAGCCTTGTTGTCTTGCTGCGCAAATTTACTACTTTAGCCAACAAATTGCTCCCAACGGAAGCACTTATACAAGTGTTAAAGGCTGTACATATGCTTAATATGTTGGTAAACAACTTCACCATAACCTAACGTTCTGCTGTCATATTTTTGTTAAAATGCCATAACCAATGTTTTAAGACAAACAACGCATGCATATTGGTTAAAAAGGTTTTATCAACTGTTCAAACAGAAGATATAGATCTGGTACAAATTCTAGGTAAATCATTCGACTCTGTCGGTATTTCATTTCTGACATTTGTCAAATTGTTGTATAACACCTGCAGACAACACCAAAATATTCTAATAAACTAAAGACAACATGGACGATGCCATGATTACACAACCACCCGCCATATTGGGCAAACATTTATTCCTCTATTTGATATTAAATAATTATGTTTCAGTTCGAAATTACGGATATAAAGTGATAAACATTAGTGTAATTGTGTCTAGATATAGGATTTGTGGAAGATTTAACGCAGATAAGTTCAGTTTTCCATCTTAAAAATCTAGACATACTTTTGATCATTATCAAAATATGAATCAAATACGAAGCCCGTAGAAATTGCGTAACTACTTTGCACGATAATCACAATAAAATTTGCTGCGCAAGTAATTCAATAGCCCTATATCACAGTGTAGAAGTTGATCATATACCTGTGTAGGAAATTCACAATGGCCGATATGCTAGTAAACAAGATGACTGTATTGTGTTAGTTATATATTCTTCACTTCGTCTATACAATACATAAGAAATAGTTTGGTTGCAATAAAGTAGACTCACGTAACAGAATAGTTGTATAGTTGACAAAAACTGAATCTTGCACTGATGCAAATGTCCTATAGCGGCTGCAAGAGGCTTACACTTTTGTTGTACAACTGTTACCTGCAGCCCTTAAGCAACCTCTTAAATGACTGAAGTGTCCTATTAGGTGTGACCATTCCGCTTGTATAGCTGTTCTAAGAGGGTTTTGCCAATGTTCTTACAGTATACAATTCTGTGTAAGGAATACTGTATAATCATTCTTGCAACTCTAATAGGAGTGATAATTGTTAGTTGGGAAATTAGATAATGTCCGAACATTTTTGCGTTAGGGCTCGTATAATTCTCCAAAAAATTACGCAAAATTAGAACAAGCTCTAATCTGGCAATGTATTCATGAATTTATTGTTGTGAAGAAATTGCAAAGATTTTACTGAATAAATATGCCATATTATGTCCCTTGAATGCAACCTACGCACCTTATAAAAATGTAGACTTATGAATCCACCGACGGCACGTTTCTCATGAAACCGTAAAACATTTCCTGCTGTTTCTTCATTCCATTTTGCTGCTATACCCCTTACAATACCTCGACGACCAGCTTTACAAATACGAACAAGAGATCTTTGCATTCTAGGACTGATCTTACATGGCCTACCAACGCCGTGTCTTGAAACTTGAGTTGAACCTGTATCTCCATACTTAAAAAAGCCACTGTAGACCTTGCGACATGTATTTATTTTTCAATATATCGACAACTCTTTCTTTGATGAAACAATTTTATGATTAAAACTTTGTTCACCGTTTGTTGCTTTCCCACGCGACATTTTTAAGCAAATTTATTCTGCACTTTTTTGTTTCCATTTCCTGATATCATTTTGTTTTTATTATCGTGTATCAACATTTATGTGTCAGCAAAATGTTGGGTTCATATTACTTGTAAACAGTTTTGTTAATATGATGTGCAAACAATATATTTTATTGTCTTATAAAAGAAAAACAATTAATTTTTAACCTTACAAAAATAAACAGACTTGTAGATAAAATTAGATAATGTCCGAACATGTTTGTGTTAGAGCTTGTAACGGGTGATTTTTCAAAAGGTATAGGATTTGATTTTCAAAAAAACGCAAAAAATTTGAAAAAACGATTAAATCTTTATTTGAGTCGATAGAAAGGTCGATATAATTTAATGTAAATGTTGGCCGCGGCTCCGCTTTAGATGGCCTATGCGCAAGGTCCAATTTTGGAACACTCTCTCCAACATATCGACCGGTATCTCACGAATAAATGCTCCAATATTGGCTTCCAGTGCGTCAATCGTTGCTGGTTTATCCCTGTAGACATTAGCCGTAACATGGCCCCACAAGAAATAGTCCAACTGCGTTCAATCACACGATCTAGGCGGCCAATTGACAGGCCCCAAACGTGAGATAAACTGTTCACCGAACTCGTCTCTCAATAGGGTCATTGTTTCGTGTGCGGTGTGGCATGTGGCACCGTCTTGTTGAAACCACATGTCAGCCAAGTCTAACTCTTCCATTTTGGGCAAAAAAAGTTTGTTATCATCCCACGGTAGCGCTCGCCATTCACAGTTACGTTCCGGCCATTGTCGACTTTGAAGAAGTACGGCCCGATGATTCCACCCGCCCATAATCCACACCAAACAGTGATTTTTTCGGGATGCATTGGTAGCTCTTGCAAAGCTTCTGGCTGGTCTTCCCTCCAGATGCGGCAATTTTGCTTGTTAACGTACGCATTCAACCAGAAATGAGCTTCGTCGCTGAACACAATTTTTCGATAAAAATGTGGATCTTCCTCCAACTTTGCCAGCGCCCATTCACCAAATGAGAAACGTTGTGGGAGGTCGTGTGGCTTCAATTCTTGCACCAGCTGTATCTTTTAAGGTTTTACACCCAAATCCTGTCGCAAAATTTTCCACGTAGTGGAGTAACAGAGGCCCAATTGCTGCGAACGGCGGCGAATCGACATTTCACGGTCATCACTAACACTGGCGGATACAGCCGCAATATTTTCTTCAGTCCTCACTCTACGTGTGCGTGTTGGTGGTTTAATGTCCAATAATGTAAACTGGGTTCGAAATTTAGTCACAAGCTTCCGAATAGCTCCCTCAGTAGGCCGACCAAATTGCCCATAAATTGGAAGCAGTGCTCGAGGCACTCTCTTAACCGAGCATGAATTTTGATAGTAAAATTCAATAATTTGCAAGCGTTGTTCGTACGTAAGTCGATTCATGGTTAAATTATAGACCAAACTGAACAAGTTTGACAATGTCAATGTCAAAAACAGTGTTGCCAAAAAGATACTAGCAAAAAAATCACCCATTATAATACCCCAAAAAATATGCAAAATTAGAACAAGCTCTAATCTGGCAATGTATTCATGAATTTATTATTGTAAAGAAATTGACAACAATCTTTATGTTCACGTTAGGACATGGTGAGTTCCAATGTTTTATTGAATTCTAAGAAACTGTTTTGTATATTCAGATAATCCCACGTCGAGAGAAACGACAGTATAAGAAGCGCAAGCACAAGTCCCTGACGACAGGTGGGCGGTCTGGTACGTTGGACGCGCTGAGCGGCGGATTGTCTTCAGACGAGGATACGGCTAGTCAGACCCAACTATCGCCTGTCGATTCTGTGGAGGAGAGCAGCCAGCAATCGCTGACAGAGGACGAGGGACGGTACGCGTTCAGGCGGAACAAGCTCTGTCAGTACCATATGGTGAGTAACAATTTAAGTGGATTTTCGGCCCGATTTCACAAACTGCGCTTGACAGAAACATGCAGTTTACTTGGGTTCGGTTTGGTTTCGTGTGAGTGCATCAACAACGATCCGCCACTGCGACTCTTTGGTATATTGTGGTTATTTATATTTCCCCCAGTAGCTCCAACCTCCTGAGGAAGTCGATCAACTCGATCCAGTTTACTTACTGAGTATTTAAGTATCAAATGTTACTTTTGGGCGGATACAGATGATGTAATGAAGCCTTGACAAAATACAGCCAAAAAATGTTACAAGTTTGCGAAGATTCCCGCAAAGCGGAAAATTGGTACATATCTTAAATACACCATTATTATCAAAACTCCCCATACAAGGTCTGACGCAAAGTAAACAAGACTTGAAAAATATCCGATACAAGTAGCGCCACCTATTTTTTTTTTATACTCCAACTACCACGAAGGCCTAAACATCCATTGGGTACCGTGGAGCTATAGGGGCATACAGGGGAAAGGAGGAACGCCACACGAACTCTGGCTGGGGAACACGTGTGCATGCAACATGCACACATTCGGGTGGTACCTCCGCGTTCGACAGTCAGAGACCGTCTACCACCTACGGACAATCACAACATTCATAGCCAAGAGAAAAATTTCTCCTGGGACGGGATTCGAACCCGCACAGCGCACGGCGACTGATCAGGAGACCGGAGAGTCTACTACTGCGCCCACCGCTGTTGCCTAAATATGTTTTATCGGAGACTATCGTTGGATAGGTACATCTTTGATTGATGCCCTGCCAAAATTTCATGACAATCGAAGAACTTCACGCGGAGTTATCGCGCACTAAGTGACAGTACCTTTTTTAGCATCGGTCGAAAAATGGGGGCATGAGAAAGGTGTGTTCACGGTTTGTTCCGCACAAGCTCATGGATGACCAAAAATTGCTTCGAATTTAACATTCGAGAGACATCATTATAGAGGCCAAAAAAGATAAAAACCTTCTGTACAACATTGTGACTGGGGAGGTATCGTGGTGTTTTCAATATGATCCCAAAACCAAGTCCAAAGTGAAGACAATGTGGATTTGTTTCTACGATTCTAAGGGAATTATATACTAAGTGACATATAAATCCGAACACCCAGTTTAAATGGTTTTATTTTAATAAAATTTTGTATAAGTACTTAATGAAGCATAATAAGTAAATGATAAAAATTTCAAATTGCACTGCTTTAAAGCCCTTTGACCTTTAATAATGTGTGGATGCACCCTGATGTGCTACGCATTCTCCAACGCGCCTAGGCATGCTTCTGATCAGGTGGTCAATGTCCTCCTGTGGTATCTCATTCCAGGCAACCACCAACTCCTCTCGAAGTGCTTCTAGAGTCTGAGGAGGACGTTGCAAATTGAGCAATCTCCTACCCATCATATCCCACACGTGCTCAATTGGGGATAAGTCGGGAGATCTTGGTGGCCATGGTAACAATGTGACATCATTATGTTGAAAGAAGTCTATTGTGACTCTTGCAACATGTGGTCGGGCATTATCTTGTTGGAAAGTTGGATCTGCCAGGGTGTCAAGATAGGGTAAAAGATGGGGTTCTAGAACTTCGTGTATATAACGCTGCGCGTTCATGTTACCTCTGATGAAGATTAAAGGTGACCTGGAACCATAAGCTATAGCACCCCAAACCATAACTCCAACAGTGTGATGAACATGTCTTTCAACAAAAAATTGTGGATTCCTCCTTTCACCACGTCGCCTTCTAACCCTGGCACGACCATCGTGCATGCCTAAACAAAATCGAGACTCGTCACTAAAGACAATACTGTTCCATTCCTGATCTCAGAGTGACCGTTGTCTGCACCACTCAAGGCGATTACGTCGGTGTTCTCGAGTTAAAGGGAGGACCCAGTGTGGCCGGTATGAAAACAAGCCAAAACTTCTCATTCATCGGTAAACACTTCGCATGCCAATAGATCTTCCGTGTTCTGCAAACCATTCATTTGCAATGGACCTGGTAGTGGAGAAACGGTCCCTTAAGGCCAATAATCTTAGGCGGCGATCTTCACGGTCTGTTGTTCTACGGCGGCGTCCAGTGCCACTTGCTCTTTGCGTACGGCCTTCTCGAAGCCATGCCTGACAACACCTAACCACACCACACTCTAACTGCAATTGCCCGAAAAGAAAGTCCAGCTTCCCGAAGTCCCACTAAACGGCCCCTATCAAACTCACTAAGTTGACGAAATCGTACAGGTCTCCGTACTCTAGACATCGTAACCGATCGTAAAGGATGTCAAGAACCAAAATCCGCCAACGTTGATTCTTTATTGCGGCTGAAATATTCATTTTTGGAGCGTTAGTGAATTAAAACAAGCAGTATAAAAACCGGAATGTCCAACTGATAAGGCTGAAAATGTTTTCACTTGTTATTTACAGTAAGATAAATACATTCACCAACTTTTATTAAAATAAAACCATTTAAACTGGGTGTTCGGATTTATATGTCACTTAGTATACATAAAGAATTCGTTCCATTAGGCAAAACGGTTAGTGGTGTGTTTTATCTTGGTGCTATGAGGCGTTTGCTGTGGCGTATTCGTCGTGTTCAGCCAGAATATCGCGAAGAAGGAAGTTGGCGCTTGTTGCACGATAATGCACCACCTGATCGATCGACGCTTGAGTCCGATTTTTTTACAAAAAATGGCATTTTATCCACCAACCACTCCTCATATTCTCCTGATATGGAATCCTGTGACTATTTTCTGTTCGGTAAACTACATTTGACCATGAAGGCACAGCGGTATGCTGACGTAGAGCCATCCAAGAAGCATCGACGACCATTTTGAACGACATTCCGGTCAGTGAGCTAAAATCATTCGAAAATATTTTGGTCCATTCAAATAGCTGTACTAACTCTGAATGAGATGATTTTGAATAAAATAAATTCGATTTTCCGAAACAAAAAATGATTATTCATTTTTTTCTTTGTGCTGCTTACTTTGCGACAGACCTTTTATATCCTTGAACCGAAACCTTGTTTCGTTTGGGATGAAATGTCACAACTATCACGTTTTGTCATGTTACTCTAAAACTAAATGTGGTCCACAAAAATATCTTGTACTAGCAGACCCGACAGATGTTGTCCGGTCTTAGCTATGAACTGGGCTGAATAATGAATAATAAAAGGGTAAATACAGCAGACGCTCAATAATGTAAACTAATTTAATCCAAGTGTGGTTCACATTATCGAAATGTTTACATTAGCGAACGTGATTTATATAATATTTGATTTATTAAAAGAAACGTTTAATACACACTATTTATAACAAAATAAACAAATATTCTAACAGCGATAAGTATTTTTTTAATTAGAAGAAAAATAATTAACAATTTTTGTCTGCGTAAATTTGCGCTTAGCATTGTGTTCAATGCCTGCGCCCGTAATTTACGAAGAACTAAAATATCCGTGTATGAAACTTCTTTTCTTTCAGCTCAATCTAAAGCTTGGTTAAAAACTTGTATAGCTTGCGCGTCAGTCACTACACTTCTGTTTCCAATGGGATCGTTCTCATCATCCTCACTGTCCATATCCTCCTCCTTATCAGCATCATTCGTCTGCTTATCTTCATTCCATAAATTAATATCAGCAGGAGTACAAACAATGTTGGGATTCACTGTTTTCAATAAATCAACAACATCCAATGACACACTAATAACATTATCATTATTGGATCGCAAACGTTCTCTAATTACGCTTAAGGGGACATCGTCTTCTTCATCATCTTCATTATTGGTACAAAAGAGATTGTTCCAACATTTTTGAATAGTTTGCTGGTTAAGTTCATTCCAGGCCATATGTAAATCTAAAACAGCTTCTCGTAATGTTACTTTTTTAAAGCCTCAGGTAAGTTTTCAAGATTCTTTGATAAGACAGACGAAAGTAGAAACTTCCTATAGTATAGTTTGGTGAGTCTTATTATGTTCTGGTCCATCGGTTGAATTAACGGTGTTACGTTGAGCGGCATGTACATGACGAAAATTGACCCATCCCTGCTCCTCAGTTGTTTCTCGGGAGGATGACTTGGTGCATTATCCAATAGTAACAACGCTTTGATTGGAAGCTTCTGTTATTTTAGGAAACCTTTTATCTACAAATTGAAAACACATCTTCAAATTATGAATAGAGCATTTGTGATAATTGATTGTCATACCTGAGGGACAAAGCACCTGTGGAACCATTTCAGGAATATACTGCTAGTCATCGAAGCGGTTTTTGAACATAATCAACAGGGATATTAACATTTTTAAATGAGCGCGGATATTTTGCTTTCCCAATTACCAGTGGCTTTATTTTATGTGAACTATTAGCATTAGTGCAGGCTAGAAACGTTATTCGTTGTTTCTCCGGCTTTCTTCCCGGGGCAGATTTTTCAAATGATACGGCATAGGTTTTCTCTGGTAACATTTTCCAATAAAGGCCACTTTCATCTGCGTTGTAAATTTGTTCCATTCTTAAATCTAGCTCGGTAATTGTTTTCATCAATTTTTCTTTGAATGGTTGCACTAATTTTGGTTGTGCTGATAATTTTTCACCAGATATAGACAGCAGTCGAATTCCATATCTTGTTTTGAATCGTTGTAGCCAGCCATCACTAGCTACGAAATTTTCAGTTTCTTTCAGTTTAATTAATTTAACAGTCTCGCTCTCTGTTTAAGTACTTCGCCACTAACTGGGACATGATTTTCCCGTTGTTTTAAAAACCACTTATACAGGGAATTTTCCATTTTAGGTGCCTTCGCATTTTTTAAAGTTTTTCTTTTTCCCGGACCTCCAAATGTATTACACGTTCTTTGTAAAATTTGAGTTTTCATACGCTTAATTTTATAGATTGTTGCTTTCGATACTCCATATTTTTTTGCTAACTGTGTCACTCCCGCACCTAGTGCAACTTCGTCTATGATTTTTACTTTCTCACTCAACTTTAAACACTTTCTTTTATAGGATGTGGATTCACGTAAGTTCAAAAATGAAATAAATACGTACGTATAAACGTATCCTAAACGATCATACGACTGACCGAGTTTGTCGTATTTTATCGCAGAGGTGAATCCCCTACACATCATAAATCGGGGACTCCCCGACGCCCGACATAAATCATCGAGGCTTCAGCATTTTACCGTCGCGCTGTTTCCGTGCGCCGAGAGTTGTTTACGTTATCGCGCGTTCCGTTTGATCCTATAGAACGAAGTTTGTGTTTACATTAGCGCAAGTTTTCATTATCCCGTGTTTACGTTATCGAGCGTCTGCTGTATATGGAATATAGGTCATGTGTGCAGCAAAATACGTTTGCCGGTCTGTCATTCCTCCATCAACTTACCTTGAAAGTAACCATAGAATTATGTAGAATGGATTTTATTGCGCCAAATGGCATCATTTGAAAGCAATTATTGTGTTGCTGGATATGAGTAAAAAATGTATAGAATCTGGCCCATTTCTGGAAACCAATGAATGTAGTGGCTCTGGTGGTGGTATCAATGTAGTCAATTTGATCTTTCCACTGACGTGACATAATCCAGTGGCTTCATTTTTAAACTTGAAAGCCTTGCAATGTGGACTCAATGGATTGCCACGTCATAATTGAATGCAGCTCAATTGGGATCAAATGCGACACTTCTACGTTGTTGAATTTCAGTCCTTCTATCCGTTCAACTTCGTTCTCGCTTGTCGTTTGACCTCTTCGTATATATCTTTGACTTGCAGCATTGCGAGTTCTGCGAACTAGGTTGGTACATCTTCTAACTGGTGGAATTTTGAAGAATCACAATTTTAATGTAAGGCATGATGATTGCGGTGAACTAACTTCCACCCTTGTTAATTATTTTTGAACAAATACTTCTCATAAAACTCATTGAAGAAACTGAAAACTGGATAAAAGCTCTAATGGAATGAACTGTGCACTACTTATTAAATAAAACAATATTTTTTTCAACGATAAACACTGTTAAACGATAATAGCTGTCAAGTTCAAAATGATAGAGTAGTGAAAGTCAATTAAGCAAAAGAAACGTATTTCTATCCGCCATTTTGATTCATAGAGTAACTGACAAAGATAACAATCGGGCAACACTGCAGTTTCTTTTGAAGGAGCCATCACAAAGTACGATAAACAAATGAAAGTCCAAAAACGAAAGCACCGTGTTTTCATATCCCAAAAAGAAATTACTTCTATAGTCTCCCATAATCTTCGTATGTATTCCAGAAAAATTGTGTGTATTACTATAATTCTTCCCCATTTTATGTGTTGTTCAACCTTCTTGTTTACAGCAAATGAAAACATAACATCAAGTAAGTCTATGTTAGAAGGACTACATACTACAGTGGTTGAATGTAAAAAATATATGTTATTTAGTTCTCATTTTCATATTCAAATTAAAAAATCATTTATTACCTCTACATTTAGAAAATTTCACAAAATTAAATAGTCATTATCATAACTACGAAACTAGAGGCATTATAGATGTTCATCTGCAAAATTGTAATAGTAGTGTATCTAGCAAATCTGTATTTCAAAAGAGAGTATTTGAATTTAATAAATTTAATAATGATATAGTGTTCGAATTAAAAACTGCTTGAGGTGAAAATAAAAAATCGCTTTATGAATACTCAAAATGCATAGTAATGTAATTTTAACAGACAAGAATGTAAAATTACAGATTTATTTAGCATTAATGCTACAATGTCCATAATATCCATATTACACAGTATATCACAAAATATATTCTGTCTTCAGGACTACATATTTTTATACAAAATTTCACTACTATGAATTCTGGTTTTCCATGAGATATTTTTTCAATTTCCCTTTGAACATTGATAAGGTGAATACTGAACCTTGAAATCCATAGCAATGCAATTTCGTTAACAATTTCTCTCTGTCAATAGCCTCAAATGCTCTCTTGAAATCTAAGAACAATGTTACTGTAAACTTTTTTCATCCATATTTCGCCTCCATTCTTCTACTACTATTTGAATTGCTGTTTCAGTAGAATACTTTTTTCTGAATCCTGCTTAATATTTTGTCAATATCTTATTTTCTTCAATATATTCAATGACTTGTTCATATATGATTCTTGCTAAGAGGTTCTCGACATCTGGCAGTACATTAATTGGCCGCATGTTTGTATATAACTCAGAATTTTGCATTTTTGGAACAGGAGTAATTGTACAACATTCTAATTTTGAATGAAATTCGCCATACACTAAACAGTGATTCACTAACAATAATAACTTCTCTCCAATAATGTTGAAACATTCCTTCACAACCATTTTTGAAAGATGTTCATAAAAGAATTATAAGTAACTTGCATGTGACATAGATTTGGATCCCCATCTTCGATTGATTCCACTATCTCATTTATACTTTCTATAAAATAAGCGTTCATTAGTTCTGCAATCAATATTTTTTGTGTTACTATACCATCTTCGAAGCGCATTCCTAATAATTCATTCTTTCTACTGGGAGATACAATATTTTTTAGTATCGTCCACATCATTTTACTGTTATTTTTATTGCTATCTTTTTTGTTTTCATAATTTTTTTCTTTTTCGTTCCTAAGATTTGTTAAACACTTGTTCCTTGATTTCTTATATTGTATCCAATCTTCCTCAGTTTGAGTAATCATAAACTTTTTATAATCATTATCACACGTCAATTTAGAATCTAGAAATATTTGTGAAAACCAGAGTGTTGGCTTTTCCCTTTGATATACCACTTTCCTAATTTGTGCGTCTCTCATGCAGTTCTCCATACAATCCATAATTTTTGAGAAGTGTCAGCATCATTAAAAATTTCAGTGATATTGACTTGTAAGAGTGACTCTCGTAACGTTTCAAAGTCAATAATGATTTCCCTTGATTCTCTCTCATTAAACATATTTTCCACCTCGAAACATATCCACGAATGGTCGCTTATTTTTGGAGTATGTAAAACCTTAATACTCAAATTCTGTTCATTGGTTATTATTAAATCGATGTTAGTTCGTGAAAAGTTTGTAATCCTTGTGTAGTCATTAACTTTTTGCCATAGACCATGAACTTTCAGTAACTGTTTAAATTTTTTTACATAAAAATCTTGATTATCAAAATTTATATTGAAGCCTCCCAAGTGCACAGTGGAGCAATTTCGATAACACTGTATTTCATAAACACTCAAAAAAGTCCAAAAATCGGCTAATATTACAGCTTGGAGATCTGTAGTAAACGTGTACATTGTAATTTTGTTTCATCTTGATTTCAATATTAATATACCACCATTGATCATCAACAACTACAGTATTATGTGATTTTACTTCAATCATACTCAGTTTGTATATTAGTATGCCACCTGTATGTTTCGAAACTGTGTTTACTCTTACATCATAATGATGAATATCAATCTCCATATCTTCAATATCTTTTGTAATATGTGTTTGAGTCAAGCAAAGAACTAATGTGTGAAAGAAAAATAATTATACAAAACTGACATTGTAGCATTAATGCTAAATAAATCTTCAACAAACATACAAACAAACTAGTTGTTGACGGCAATGATTACATTCTAGGTCAACAGATGCAGACATCCAAAAAAACAGTTGTAACATCATAGGGATAACGCAAATGCCTTAAAGATGCTACTCAAGTTTTAACTAATCATTTCTTTTTACAGCCTCTGCCATATGAAGGCAACTGGCCATGGTGCAGCAAAGAGGAGCACGGCCTGGCGGATCGTCGTTATCGGTTCGCGCTGACATCGATATCGCATCCGGCGCGCAGATGCATCGGCCTCGCTAGGCGGCGCCTCGGCAGGGGCGGAAGGGTCATCATGGACAGGGTGGCCACCGACTACGACGATCTGTGGCGAACGCTTGACTTCACCATCATTGAACCGGATCGGGATCAGCACCAGGTGAGTGAGAGTTTTGATACTGGTAAGGTAGACGTCAACGATATTGTATTCGTTTGCATTTCTTGCCGATAGTCATACAACGGCTATAAAACCGAGAACGGGAGGCATGACAGAGACGGATCTGAAAATTTTCAAACATTCTCTCTTGCAAGTCTGGATGAGATGAGAGATGACTGAATCAAGTTGTTGAAGTAACGTTGTGACTAATTATCATGACATTAGTTAAAAATTGATAATATTAACCAATGTCCGCAATGTTGGGGTTTTCCTTTTCAGAAACAACTACCCTTGAAATAACAAAGGTAATGTGTAGTGAAACGAGGGCGACCAAGTAAAAAAAATAAAGGAAAAAGTACTCACTCTCCAGTTGACGAGAAGGGCTAAGTACGTCTCTGCCCGAAATCATACCGCTCCAACAGAAAATGAAATCAGCTGATGCGCTACCGAGCAGACGCAGGCAAACAAGGAAGACAAAATGTTGCGTAAAAAGTCTAGGTATTGCATCCCGTCCAATCGATTTGGGAGAATAAATGGTCCAATGAGCATACCGTTCACCATGCCAGCCCAAACATTCACCGAAAATGTTTGTTGAAAATGTGGCCGACGGACAGCGTGCGGATTTTCTACTGACTAAATATGAGTGTTGCGAAAGTTATTCACCCCATTACGCGTGAACGTAGATTCGTCTGTCACCAATATGCACTTCGAAAAGTCCGGATTATGTTGATGCAACAAACACTCACAAAACCGCACTGTTGCTGGAAAATCGTCAGGTTGAAGGGCTTGTACACGTTGGACGTGAAACGGATACAGCCCCTCTTCACGCAGCATTTGCCACACTTTAGTTTTTGATACTTGCACTTCTCTAGGCCACGTCTCTAGTGCTTGTTGAGGGATTCTCGTCTACGCGATTACCTCTACACGCGTGACCGTAACCGTCGGTTGAAGGTTGCATACTGACCTGACACACTGACCCCGACCTAGTTCTGTCGTCGGGTTGAGCTAGTGTCCTAGTACCACTCGGGGATGTCGCGGCTACAGGACGGTATTCAGATATTTTTGATGTTGCAGAGCCCTTTATCTCGGTTCCCTTAAGACATGGGTGTATATGGTACTAAGAAAAATTGCTTATGTTTTCAAGATCTACACGTCGTGTAAAGGAAAACCCCAACTTTGCAGACACCCTGTATACATATGTAAATCTGATGGTAGCGATGTCAAAGATGCAAAGTTACTTAAATAATTTGCTATGTTGAGGAGCCTTCTTCCAGAAACACGCACATCAAGATCATTCACTTTCACGCTTTACTGCTTTATTTAAAAAATGTACAAGTTCATCATCTGAAGACTCATCATTGGTGAATCTTATGTAAGTCTTATTCATTTTCAATTTGTATGACTCTGTCGATGGTTTTCTTCCAATATGTATAATTCATTGTTTTGGCCTGCCTCTAATCTGATTAGGTCGGCTATGGCTAGCTCACTAGTCGAATTTATGTTCCTTCAGCGTATTCTTCTTTTTAGTTGAGCCCATATTAAGTCTATGGGATTAAATATACAAAAATTAGGTGGCAGTCGTAGGACTACATGCCCGCAAGAAGCTGCCATTACGCCAACCGCATACCTTTTCTCAAACTGTCTTGTACGGAGCACCTCCAACAATTCTTTTTTTGTATAAAATACATATGTGCTTGTCAGCCGTTATGACGGGAAAGAAAACTCTATAATTATAAAATACACTGTCACAAAAACTTTTTGGATGTTTTAGAGGCTTCTGGTCATTTTCAGGTAATCTTTTGTGGGGGTTAAAAATCGGGGGTTGGGGAGGATATACAGTGCAACCCGCTTATAATGGACTCAGCGGGACTTTGACAAATAGTCTATTATAGGCGGATTACCATCTTCAGGGGGTATTCAAAACATTTAGGCATAAAATGGGTACATCAATTTTTATGGGAAAACTTTTTCTTCGACAACAAAGATTGAGAAAACGTGTTTTTTTGGGATTCAATCGAAAGTGTTGGCGGGAACGAAAAAACTTGTCATATAAGATTTTTAGGTATTTATGAGACCTACAAAATGAGACCACACGTAAAAAGATCCGACTAATAGCATGAAAGTCATGACCAAAAACTGAACCTGTATATTATTGCTCAATAAACTAGTGATGGCCGGAAAACAGGTGGTTTGCGATAAACAATTAGGAATTCTCAAAAAACTACTTGAACAATATATTCCAGTTTTGTTGCTGTTATTTAGAAGTATGAATCCTACCGATTTGAAGAATTTCAAGTAGTTGCGTGAAATTATCGTCCCATTACCAACAAGTGCCAAAACCTGCATCTTGCCTCGTTTTTCGGCCATAACATTTTTGCTAGTCGGATCTTTCCACGTTTGGTCTCATTTTGTAGGTCTCTTAAATCTAAAGATCTTATATGAAAAGTTGTTTCGTTCCTGTCAACACTTTCGATTGAATACAAAAAACATGTTTTCTCCATCTTTGTTGTTGAACAAAAAGTTTTCCCACAAATGTTATGCGTCCATGTTCTAAATACTCGCTTGAACAACTTGCACCAATAAAATCAGACTTTACAATTATTTCGGGGAAATTTGCTAATATGGCAATATTTTAACTTTAGTTTAGAGTGCCTAACTTTTACCGAACATAATAGTTTATGGACTGATGACAACGTTGCGTGGGAAGTGCAGAGTCAACCTACTTGACGACATTTGTTTAATTTGCAGGTGAAGCAAGAGGAGAGCATCAGGGACGATGTGCCGTCGGCGTCGACGTGCGGCGTTAGTGTTAATAGTAATAATAATAGTTCGTATATAAGTGAGACTAGGACGAGCAATAACGCTACGGCGAGTAGTAGTGGTGTATTTAATAGTGTGGTTGGTGATGTGTGCGTGAAACAGGAACCGGTATCGGTGCCTGACGAACCGACGACAGCGCCCGAACTGGTGGACGAAACGACGCAGCACCAAGAGGATATGGTCGAAGTGCTTCGGTCGATACGAAGGGACTGGTTAGTATTCGTTCATGTTTTTAGGTCTTTATCACCCAGGCTGGTTGATGTTTTTTTAAGTAGATCTCAAATAGGTAATATTTATTCTAATAGACAAAAAAAATAAGACCGTAGAACTTTAATTTAAACCTAAACCTGTATTTTTCGTAGACAGGCGAAAACGCTGTCCGTCATGTTTGGCCCATATTGATGCGTCACACCATTAGAAAACATGACTTTTACTAATTACATGAAAAAATTTATTAGTTATCGTTATTTAATCATCCGAGAATGTTGCTTGGGACAGAGTTTTACATTTTACTGTGCAGAATTTATCGTCTCCCTTGAGTTGGACGTAACCTACGACATAATAATAGTAATAATAATAATAAATGGCCTTTATTCGTCACATGATTACAAAATAATTGGCTTAAAAGGAATAGTGACGAAAAGGTGGAGTGTCAGCTTATGCTGTTTTTCAACCCGACCTAAAAAAACATTGACACAAACTATAGAGAGAAAAAAAGTACCTACATTTAAATGGCACAGTTCACAACATTGACCATAGACATGTGACATATCGCGAGATTGAGGCGTCTTTGAAGATCTCACAGACCTCAATTCAAAAAAATTTACATGAAGAATTAGGAGTAAGAAAATTAGTTTCTTGTTGGATACCCCACCTGTTGACTGAAGAGCAGAAAGCAGCCAGGGTTAATTGAGGTCAAAAAACGCTTGACCGTTTCAATTCCGGAAACTCAAAAATGTGTACAGCATTTTTAGTGGTGATGAATCGTGGATTTACTGTTATGCACCAGAAAATAAACGACAGTCGGCTGTTTGGGTGTTCCAAGGTGAAGAAAAGCTAACAAAAGTCATCCGTTCTCGAAGTGTTTCGAAAAAGATGGTCGCTTCATTTGTGTCAAAAGCGGGTCATATTGCAACAATTCCTCTTAATGAGCAAAGAAGCGTTACTGCGGATTGATTACCACCATTTGTTTGACAAAAGTTATCACCGAGCTTTGAAAAATCAACCCCGAAAGAAGAATAATCATCCACCAAGACAATGCAAGCTCGCACACAGCCCAAAAAACAAGGCAGTATTTAACGGGAGAAAACTTGGAATTATTGGACCATCCTCCATATAGTCCCGATCAAAGTCCTAACGATTTCTTTTTTTTTCCCGTGGTCAAAGGTTCCAGTCACCAGAAGAAGCAGTTGACGCATTCAAAAATGCCGTTTTTGGATCTGTCAAAAACAATAGTCATTTAAAACTACCTACCGTGTTGTTTTATTTCCATATGCAAAACTTAAAAGACATCCCTCGTATAGGACGCATTGCATAGTTGGTTAACATGTTTTGCTTGCAGTCAAACCAGATACCAAGGTTTTTGCATTCGTTTACGAAGGATATATCTTGATTATTCACCATAATATAAGTTGGGTATCATCGGCGTAATGATGAACGATTGAGTAGCTGGCAGTTTCATGAAAATCACATATATAAAGAGCCAATAAAAGGGACTCAAAATGGATCCTTGAGGGACACCAAAATTTCTGAATAAAGGAGTTGATATATTGTTTTCATATATGACAGACTGTGAGCGATCAGTTAAGTAGCTTCTAATCAGCGTGCAAGCCGATGAGGACAGGTCATCATCAACGTACGAGTTCCTTGCAAGACGAAATCGACAATATTAAGCCGCGTACAGACCGAGATTCCAACGCAATCCAAGGCACATGTGGTTGTAAAATAGTTTTGGAGGTGTTCTATTATTTAGTCGTTTGTCTGGATTCGATGAGAGGAGATTCGTCGCACGACATTAGCACCGAACTTAACCCAACGCGGTCCAACTCGGAACTAAATTTAGGTATAGACGAGCGCATTCCAATACCTTCCAACAACAAACGAAAACGTCACATGTGCTTGCATTCGTTTGCCTGGCGTTGGATTTTCGGTCTGTACGCGGCTTTAGATGAAATTATTCACAGGTGAATGAGCTTTTATTTGAATGACTTCTGAAAAGGAACATCATGGAATAATATCTTATTCATTTTTATGTCTATCATTATGTCAGATGGACTGTACTTAGAAGTATTGATATTTCCATAATCAAAAAGTTACCAACAATCACTGTTAGTCCATGAGTGATATACAGATGCCGACTCTTTGTTTACCGTTTTTATGACGTCACATCATGGCCTAGTGGCTAGTTTTTTTACCGCTTCGTATTAAAAATAAAAATATATTTTTTTTAGATTGGAATCAAAAACACATATTAGCACACGATGCACCTATGCATTGCCGTTTCCTTCTAGCTATAGTATACAACTTACAGATTAGACCTCCAGTAGTGCCTTTTCTGAAGCAGATTTTATTTCATATAAGAGCCAAACATTGATAACTAAAGCATCATCACTTTTAGGCAACACGTACAACAAAACTAGTTCACAACGTGTCGATCAGCTAGTGCTAAGTTAACATCTCTTAGAAAAACCTACATAATGTAAAACAAAAGAAAAATACAATGTCAAAAAAAAATCGATACAATGTCACTTTTCAAGATACGTAATACCTGTGCCGGTTGGCCAATGCGTTAGTGAAAAGTTAAACTTACAAAGTTGTTTTATTTAACAGTCTGTAAACATGGAGAATTAGTCAGCGTGAATACGACGGGATGAATTTCAAATGTTACATTAATCTAACTGAGCTATTAAAAATGTAATTTTGTCGAGATGGAGCATGCTTTCGTAAAAAATATATTTATATAAATTTTATTTCGTATGAACATATCATTTATTGTCCAAATATTTTTATTCCTGGTGGACTTCTGCAGCACCTGCATGGAAAAATTGTTAGAATTAGTGATGAAAACAAATGCGTTTCAAAAATAAATAATAACTGCATGGTTACTATGGTTACCAGATTTTTCATAAGAATTATAATGCAGGAATATCTGATTGATCACATTTCCATAACACTGATAATCATGCTCTACAAATCACTCAATTTGGCATGAACTTACCATGATTGTGAAATACATTAGCCATGGTCCTGAAGCACTCAATTGTCGATATTATGCCCTGGAAAACAGTAGCAAGTAATCTATCTATCTATCTCTGATCACCATGGGTTGGTAGTGGAATGAAGTGCCTTCAACTCTGCATTTTGAGTGTTTCATAGCGCTTCACATATGTGACTGTTGAATCGAGTATAAATCCTCAATAGTCATAATATTCTAATGAATAGGTCCTTCCAATATAGAATCTCTCTATCACTAAACCCTTTTGCAAAGGATCAGGATGCTCGGTTTGTTGATTACAATCACCTAGAAAGAAAGAGTTAGTCTCATATACAATTTCACCAACGTGTTAGGTGTGTTATTCCAGATTGCAAGGTCCGTAAATTCAACAAAAAATGTAGTTTAAATAAGAACGACTTTAATAAAATTTGTGGTTAGGGAAAACTCCGAGTTCATCCGGCCATCCAGACACAAATAAAAGAGAGGTTAACTAAAAATGACAGCAATAAACCGCCATACTTGTCAAAGCCGCCATTTTTTCTGTTATGGTTGTCAGGTTGTGGTACGATAACACCACACTGTTCCCTATCCTCCCATATGAGTTGACTCCTCAAGGTGGTGCATAAACGCCCGTTTATGCGGCGTATACGCCGGCTCCTGATGGTGGCCGGTTTGTTTGTTTGTTTCAGATTTATTAATGCTACAATATCCATATTACACAGTATATCACAAAATATATTGTCTTCAAGACTGCATATTTTATACAAAATTTCATTACTACGAATTTTGGTTTTCCATGAGATATTCTTTCAATTTCCCTTTGAACATTTTCAAACTGACACACATCTTGATATCATTACTTAATTTACTAAATTCGGACAATCCTTTTTGAAATACTGACTTGCTCGTTATATTGCTACTGCAGTTTTGTAAATGAAAGTCGACTTCCTCTAGTAGAATAATTGTGGCACTCATTGTTCAATACAATAAAATATTCTAAGTGGTTTGGTAGAAGATGATTTTTTAACTTGAATATGAAAATGAAAACCAAGTAGGCTATGAAATTTTTGATATCTAACCATTGTAGTTCTTTCAGCATAAAAGTTATTCTAGTATATTTATTTTTATTTAAGATGATTCTCATAGCTCTATTTTGTAATATTTGTAATTTTGAAAATACAGTTTCATTTGCAGTGGACAAAATAGTCGAACAACATAACAAATGAGGAAGAATGATAGTGTTGAACACATTTTTTTTAGAATAAACGCTTGGGCTGTGCGAAATTCTATAAAAGTAATTTATTTTCTTGGATATTTTTGAAATAATATATTCATAGTGCCCTTCAAATTTTAAATTACTGTCTACTTATACGCCCAAATATTTAAATGATTCGATTGACACAATTTTTTCATGATTAATTGTAAGATTTATCGTATTTTGATCTAAAGAGTTTCCTATTAGCATATATTTTGTTTTGTTTGTGTTTAGTTTAAGTTTATTTACATTTAACCAATTTATTATGTTTTTCATATCATTATTTAACAGCCCTATTACAGTTTCAATGTATTTATGTGATATATATATATATATATATATAAATAGTTGAACCTTGCATATCAGGAATATCGTTAATATATAAAATAAAAAGTAATGGACCCAATTAACTACCCTATGGCACACTTACCGAAATAGTAGTAGTAGTAGTAGAAAGATTTATTTAGCACATTTGGCTACATAAACAGAACAATTGTAAACAACTTAGAACTAGTAAATTCAAGCCATATGGTGTATGATGTAAATGCTGGGCAACCTATAATTGTAGATTTAACAAGTGATTTCTCAATTTTACTTTAGATTGTGTCAAAGTTTTCTGGTCTTTTATCTCCGAGTATAATTTATTATATTCAATCAACCCTTGATGGAATACAGATTTGTAGCATATGTTATACTTTTTGGTCATTAAATGGAAGTCATCTTTATTTCTGGTATTATGTAAATGATGGTCGACATTTGATGATGTTAAATTAGTTAGACTTGATGGAAATACAGGGTACGGCACTGGAATGTGACACATTTTAACGCGCCACTGTCTGACACATGGATGGGTGGGGGAGTTCTGTTTATGACTGATGTGTTTGTTATCGTATGCAGTTTAGTAGCTATGGAGAATTGGCCGGTTAATCAACGCGTGTTCGCCGTGACGGCTTACATTGAAACAAAGTCTGTTATTACGGTCCAGAGACGATTTCGGGCCGAGTTTAATATCCCAAGACGTGGTCGCATTCCATCGCGGAACATTATTTTGCAATGGTTTAAGAAGTGGAATGCGCATGGAACTGTCTGTGATAGGTTTGCTGGTTCTTCCCGTACTGTGCGAACGCCTGAAAATATTCGAAGAGTTGAGGAAGCAGTAACAGCCAGTCCAACACGTTCAGCGAATAAACATGCAAGGGCTCTAAACCTATCAGATCGTACAGTGCGCCGTATTTTGCATGACGATCTTAAGTTTCATCCTTATAAAATACAGATTGTGCATCAATTATCCCCACAAGATCCACCTAACAGACTTGCATTTTGCAGGGAATTTGTAAGATTGTTGCGCGAAAGACCAGATCTGATGGATAATTTAATTATGTCTGATGAAGCTCATTTTCATTTATCGGGTTTTGTTATTAAACAAAACTTTCGATATTGGTGTGCAGAACAACCAATGCAGTTGCATGAAAAACCTTTACATGCTGAAAAAATTACGGTTTGGTGCGGTATTGCAACCTTCGGGATTATTGGACCGTATTTTTTTGAAGAGAATAATCGAACTGTAACCGTTACCTCGGAGCGATATTTGCAGATGCTACAAACATTTCTTACTGCCGAATTACGTAGATTGAGAGTTGAAGATCACGAAATATGGTTTCAACAGGATGGGGCAACTAGTCATACCGTTAGAATAGTTATGCAGTTTTTAAGGAATAAGTTTCCTGGCAAATTAATTTCCCGAAATGGAGACCTTGCCTGGCCAGCACGTTCTCCTGACTTAACGACTCCAGATTGTTTCTTATGGGCGTACTGAAAGTCTAAAGCGTATGTAAACAAGCCCCGCACACTGGATGAGCTAAAGAACAACATAACTGAGGAGATAAGAAGAATTGATGGAAGGCTTCGAGGCGCAGTTATGAACCACGACCGAGAAAATATTGAAAAATGTATAGAGTTTAATGGTGGACATTTAAAATCTGTGATTTTTAAAAAATAATAAACTGTTAAAAACTGCATTCAATGAGTATTATTTTTCAAATTTTTACTTATTTTTACAACAAAATTGCTAATAAATACAGTGTACCGAAAAACGTCACATTCCACTGCCGGACCCTGTATATTATTTTTTACTTTATAAATGAATATCATTACAAGATATTTGATAAAAATTTTTACATTGAGCCATTTTAATTTGCTAAGCATTTGCCTAATTGGAGTATATTTATCTTTATTTAGTATTATTCTCATGCACTTATTTTGTAAAATTTGCAGTGTTTCAAAAATGGAATTATTTGCTAAATATAGAATAGTCGAACAGTACAAGAAATTTGGAAGAATGATGGTATTATAGATAATTTTTCTGCTATATGAACTCAGACATCCAGAAACTCTCGATAAATATCCCACTTTACTACTAATCTTATTTATAACTTTTTCATAATGAATATCAAAAATTAATCAAGAGTCAACAAAAACTCCCAGGTATTTAAAATTTTCTACGAATTCAATATCTTCACCATCAATATTCAGTTGAACATTTGTACATTGTTTTTTCCGATTAACAAGGCTTTCGTTTTACTTGCATTTAATTTTAGTCTGTTAGATGCTAACCATTTTGAGACAAGCTTCAAGTCTTCATTTATATAAGAGATACCAGACTGAATATTTTTAGTACTTAATAAATCATAGTGTCATCGGCGAAAATTTGAATTTTGCATTTTATGTTATTAATGTTTGATAATGTATTGCGAATTTTAGTTCTTTGACTTCTATTGATTAAATAATTTTGTAATAAGTTGAATACTGAACTTTGAAAGCCATAGTAATGCAATTTCGTTAACAATTTCTCTCAAAAGTCTCAAATGTAAACTTTTTTTTATCCACATTTCGCCTCCATTCTTCTACTACCATTTGAATTGCTGTTTCAGTAGAATAATTTTGTCGGAATCCTGCTAGAAATTTTGTCAATATCTTAATTTTTTCAATATATTCAATGACTTGTTCATATATGATTCCTTCTAAGAGCTTCTCGACATCTGGCAGTACATTAATTGGCCACATGTTTGTATATAACTCAGAATTTTGCACTTTTGGAACAGGAGTAATTGTAGAACATTTTAATTTTGAAGGAAATTCGCCATACACTAAACAGTGATTTACTAACAATCATAACTTCTCTCCAATAATGTTGAAACATTACTTCATAACCATTTTTGAAAGATTTTCACTAGGATTTCTATTCGATTTAAATTTTGTAATAGCTTTTGAAAGATGGCTGATATTTATTGTTTGGAATTGTCTCATAGAAGAATTATAAGTAACTTGCATGTGACATAGATTTGGATCCCCATCTTCGATTGATTCCACTATCTCCATTATACTTTCTATAAAATAAGAGTTCATTCGTACTGCAATCAATATCTTTTGTGTTACTATACCATCTTCGAAGCACATTCTTGATAATTCATTCTTCCTACTAGTAGATACAATATTTTTTAGTGTCTTCCACGTCATTTTACTGTTATTTTTATTGCTATCGATTTTGTTTTCATAATATTTTTTCTTTTCGTTCCTAAGATTTGTTAAACACTTGTTTCTTGATTTCTTATATTGTATCCAATCTTCCTCAGTTTGAGTGATCATAAACTTTTTATAGTCATTATCACGCGTCAATTTAGAGTCTAGAAATAATTGTGAAAACCAGAGCGTTGGCTTTTTCGTTTGATATACCACGTTCCTAATTTGTGCGTCTCTCATGCAGTTCTCCATACAATCCATAATTTTTGAGAAGTGTCAGCATGATTAAAAAATTAGATATGCCTATAATTTCTCTAGTCATTCATTTATAGTCAAATCGAATAATTGTTCTCTAGTTTGAGAGACACCTTACATGAAATTGACCAAATCCTTTAGATCCATTACAATCAAAAACGCCTTATTGGTCCAATTTGTGCAAAGGCGCACATTTTGTATTCCCGCCTGTCAGTAGTAAAATCGGGCCTAAGTTACCTGAACGGGCTCATTGAGCGTTATGTACCGCTATGATCAGATAAAAGCAATTATTAAATGTATAATTTTCATTTCAGGTTGCACTTCCGACCGAAAACGCCACCAGCCGATTGGGAACCTCCGTGCGACATGCTCATGATGGAAGACTCATTCTTTTCGCCGTTGAGCGGCACCCCGTTCTCGATGGAGGTGCAGCCGTTGGAGGGCACGGGCGAGTCGTACGTGACGGAGCCGTTCTCGTTCGCCAACTGTTTGTCCTCGGAGTCCTCGATGGACACCATGGAACCACCACCCGCCCAAGAAGTGCCCGTCACGGATACACGGCAACAGCTGGAGGAATCGGGGGGACGGGGGGATGAAGAATGGTGGTGCAGTGACGTCGCCGGCAACGACCGAGGGAATGACGACGACGAAGACGACTCCGGTGACGTCGTCGGATGTTCCAGATTCACGGTCAGTATGTGTGATTTTGTTATGTTTACCTCTAAAGCAAAGAATACTAAGTTACCAGCAGAAGGGGCACTCGCGAAAAAGCCTCTTTTTTATACCGAAGCAGCCGCGCAGGCAGAAGCCTAAATGCCGGGACACCGCGGCTGCTATGAGGATCCCAAAGAAATTTTATTAATTCGGTTTTTAAACTACCTAAGGTTAGTAGAACTGAGAAAAGCTTCCTCTTGTGGATTGTTCCACAATCTCGACACCCCCGGGACAAAGGAGCGGTCGTATCGGCCCGTTCTGGATGTACGAACTTCGTCACGGTTAGCATGGTAGTCAATTGGTGTAGGGGTAGAAGATAGCTAGACCGCCGACATTTTTCTAAGAACTCGGATCCTTTTTTTAGGTGCCTCACTTTTTTATTGCTTTATAGAGGGTAGTGCTGTCGTCCTTTTGCTTAAAAAAATTGCGAGATGAAAAATAGTTTTTAGCCTCTTTGTCACTGACTGGTCATGATTCCTTTGTCGTACTGTGTTCTTTGTTATTACGTAACCTCAGTGACCACAAGTTTGAAAATGGAAGTAAGTTGACTAAAAAACAAATGTTTTTCAAATTTCCTTATCTGAAAAAATAATAAAAAATAACGCGAAAGAAATGCAATGAGACTTTTATAACTCCTCAGCATGGTGTATTCTTGATCTCATGCAAGACAACAAATGAAAGCTGAGCAGCCATAGTATAAGGTCTATCGAAATAAGACAGCACGAAGTGCCGTCTGTTACCAGAATCGACCTCTGCCACTTTGCTCTATCTTATTTCGGTGAATCTATAGATGAGTTAATATTCTCAGTTTAGGCTTAACTTTATTTGCCTTAGTAGTCACTAAATCGCGGTTCGCGTATTTGAATTGAAAATAAATGCGGACTTGTCTATAAAGTGAAAGAAAATGATCAGCAGAAAACTGTTCACAAGGGCGACTGAAACTTGTGTCGAAGACTTCAGTTTTCAGTCGTTTTTTTACGTTCTCTACAAAAGCCAGCTCAACCAAGCTCTATGTAAATATACTAAGTGACATATAAATCCGAAAACCCAGTTTAAATGGTTTTATTTTAATGAAATTTTGTATAAGTACTAAATGAAGCATAATAAGTAAATGATAAAAATTTCAAAATGATTGCACTGCTTTAAAGCCCTTTGACCTTTAATAATGTGTCGATGCACCCTGATGTGCTACGCATTCTCCAACGTGCCTAGGCATGCTTCTGATCAGGTGGTCAATGTCCTCCTGTGGTATCTCATTCCAGGCAACCACCAACTCCTCTCGAAGTACTTCTAGAGTCTGAGGAGGACGTTGCAAATTGAGCAATCTCCTACCCATCATATCCCACAGTGCTCAATTGGGGATAAGTCGGGAGATCTTGGTGGCCATGGTAACAATGTGACATCATTATGTTGAAAGAAGTCTATTGTGACTCTTGCAACATGTGGTCGGGCATTATCTTGTTGGAAAGTTGGATCTGCCAGGGTGTCAAGATAGGGTAAAAGATGGGGTTCTAGAACTTCGTGGATATAACGCTGCGCGTTCATGTTACCTCTGATGAAGATTAAAGGTGACCTGGAACCATAAGCTATAGCACCCCAAACCATAACTCCAACAGTGTGATGAACATGTCTTTCAACAAAAAACTGTGGATTCCTCCTTTCACCACGTCGCCTTCTAACCCTGGCACGACCATCGTGCATGCCTAAACAAAATCGAGACTCGTCACTAAAGACAATACTGTACCATTCCTGATCTCAGAATAACCGTTGTCTACACCACTCAAGGCGATTACGTCGGTGTTCTCGAATTAAAGGGAGGACCCAGTGTGGCCGGTATGAAAACAAGCCAAAACTTCTCATTCGTCGGTAAACACTTCGCATGCCAATAGGTCTTTCGTGTTCTGCAAACCATTCATTTCATAGTCGAGAAACGGTCCCTTAAGGCCAATAATCTTAGGCGGCGATCTTCACGGTTTGTTGTTCTACGGCGGCGTCCAGTGCCCCTTGCTCTTTGCGTACGGCCTTCTCGAAGCCATGCCTGACAACACCTAACCACAGTGTCTACACTTCTTTGCACTCTAACTGCAATTGCCCGAAAAGAAAGTCCAGCTTCCCGAAGTCCCACTATACGGCCCCTATCAAACTCACTAAGTTGACGAAATCGTACAGGTCTCCGTACTCTAGGCATCGTAACCGATCGTAAAGGATGTCAAGAACCAAAATCCGCCAACGTTGATTCTTTACTGCGGCTGAAATATTCATTTTTAGAGCGTTAGTGAATTAAAAAAAAGCAGTATAAAAACCGGAATGTCCAACTGATAAGGCTGAAAATTTGTTCACTTGTTATTTACAGTAAGATAAATACATTCACCAACTTTTATTAAAATAAAACCATTTAAACTGGGTGTTCGGATTTATATGTCACTTAGTATATTTCTTCCAATTCTTTAACATTCAACAGTGTTCCGAAAAGGATGTGTTGTGATATCGCGTTACTGATACCGGTACACTCATGAACCATAAATAAATTTTGGATAGATCTCCTTCGTCAATTACAGCTCCTGTGTGAAAAAACGGATTCCAAATGTGCTGGAATAATACTTGCTTAAAATCATTTTCGAAGTTGTGTCATGTATTTTAACAGTTTGTAGAACTTATCAAGAGAAGTTGATATACCAAACATCACCTATATAAAAGTTGCATAATAAGAGAGTTTACATTATTAAGAACTATTTGAAAAAAATTATCAAGTTAAATGGATACCGTTTTCAAAACAAAAAAAATCAAAATGGTCCCCATTTGTTCGATTGACGCAAAATCTTGTTCGTCGAATCCACTACTCTTTACAAGCTTCGAAAATAAAATCCTGATGTTCACGAATTAAAACACAAGCATTTTCAGTGCGGTGTTGAAGTTCTTCCAAAGTATTTACTGATCCATCATAATACACCAACTATGTCAAATACGAAGTCTAGTAACTAAATTTAATTCGTGGGCCGGATGATTTCTTAAAGGAAACCTTGCGACTGCATTTTGCTGACACTCTCCGTATGTTAGCATTATGTCCACTAGTTAATTTTGTTTCGTAAACACGGGCCATTTTTTCGCACAAAATAATCAGGAAATAGGACTGATCGAACCAAAGACTCGCACGGAAAACCACACAATAACGCAAAAAGTTTGCCAAATTTAGATAAACGATAAGAGTAGTAGACAAAAAACGCTAAGATCTTACATGGCATTGATCGAGGATATCAAAAAATCTGTTTTTATTTTATTTACTCCAGCTGCCACGAAGGCCTAAGATCTAAACACCCATGGGGTACTGTGGTGCTACAGGGGAAAGGGGGGACGCCACACGGAACCTAGCGAGAGAACACGTGTTCATGCAACATGCACGCATTCTGGCCCCGCCTTCGAGATCCGCCGGGTGGTACTTCCGCATACGACAGTCAGGGACCATCTACCACCTGTGTAATAAAATTCTTATTTTAAAAAATTTTTCAATCATCCGCTACTTCTTTTATTATGCAACTTTTATATAGGTGATTTTTGGTATATCAACTTCTTTTGACGAGTCATGCAAGCAGTTAAAGTAAATGACTTGTCTTTGAAACCACACTGTATACTTCCTAGACTATTAACGCGATTGCATCCAAGTGGCAGGTAGCATATCAGCCACCAGAGGTATTATCTCGGCCACCGCGTCAGAATCTGTTTTTGTGACGGAAGAACTCTTCTACTAGTAACCCTGTATTTTTTGCTCTAAAGTGGCATTAGCATGATCACGTTGTCAATAGAGATCATGTAGTCATAGTCAGATGTGTAACATCAAACCAACCAACATCGACTCTATTGTCATTTACCGCTTATCATGTGCTTGTCACATGCTACGGCTTTCGGAAATTAATGGTATTTGTCATTATAACCCCTATTTGATGGAGAAAAGTGCTCGAAGAGGTAAGTGTTTACTGGAGTGCCTTTTGACCGCCCAGCACTCCTTTCAGTAGGGGTGAGTAAGGAGTCTCAACTCTGTTCTCTCGTTGAAATAGACCGACCCAGTCACTAGTTATAAAAACTATTCTGTAAGATAAAGATCAGCTAAAAGTTTCAAAGGGATTTGTTTAGAAATGTTAAGAAAAGGGAATCCAAATGTTGGGCGCCACTTTATAATGCAGTACTGGTAAGTATTTGAGTTCCATCGAAAGCACTGATGAGCGGAGGGTAAATTGGAATTAAAAGTCAAATGTATTCATCAGTATAAAGGGTGCACCAGAAAGACGTACGATTGCTCGAGACAGACACGCGGGAGTGGGGATAAGTAGCTTGGTGCTCGGAAATTTAGTCGCCATGGAGCGTTTCACCGTTGAGCAGCGTGCGTTCTGTGTTGAGGCTTATTTCCAAAATGTAGATGCGTGCACTATCGCGCGGCGTCTATTGCGCTCTGGGTTTAGTTTACATGATCTAAATCAATGTCCTAGTGAAAGTGTGATCAGGTCGTGGGTCAGAAAGTTCGAGTCTACCGGTTCGACACTGAATCAGAAACCGGCGAGGTGTCCAAGGTCGATACGAACAGAGGAAACTGTAAGCGAAGTTGCGACCTCGGTACTGTGCAAACCACAATTATCATCCCGAAAGAGATCAGCTAGCTCACCATATCAAGAACATCTGTGAGACGTATTTTGGTAAAATACTTTAAATTGCACCCATGTAAACCTCAACTAATGCAGGTATTGAAACTGCAGGACCACCATCTACGTAGTGCGTTTGCCAAAACGGATACCTCAAGAGCCGCGTATACGCCAATAAATCGACGATGACTGTCCAGCTCAAACACAATTTTTCCGGGGAGATGTCCGCTATCCCACGAGCGATGTGCCAGCGAGTTTTCACGAATATGGAGTCGAGATTCGACGAGTGCGTACGTCTCGACGAATTACATCTCAATGATATTTAAAAAAAATAAAACCCCCATGTGCCTACTTTATTAAAAATATAAATTATCTTCCCTACGGTTTGTAGTTTTTTTCTATGATTTTTTAAAAATCCCCACAACTGAATGGTCTACCGTGTATTTAATAATCGGAACGTAATAAAATAACTAGCTACAAGCTTGGATTACCATAGCTGTTTTTGTGTATTTACAATTACTTCTCATGATAAACGAAAGTCAAATTTTAATGATTCTTATGCTTTATTCCAAAAAAACGGCTAGCCAACTCGAATTAGGACTGTTTGATCTCCCTTTTCAGGCGACTTGGGCTAATATCTCCAATTAGGGAGCCAGGACGCTTATTTCAGTCAAGCTACTTGGCCCCTAAGGTCCCACCTTAGCTAATTCCAGGATCGATGAAAGCATAAAGACAGGTGTTGATGATTGAGTACCAAATACGCTATAAATTGGGGAAAGCTGTCTATAGGCCAGTTGGAGGGAAATCTGATCAGATAATAGTAATATACAAAGGATACTATAAAAGTTTTGCAGTAACATGTAGCCTCTTGCGTCCGTTTGTTGAGTCATATTGCTAGACTGTTATAATAGTACCCGTTATATAAAAGTTTATGAACCGAAAATACAACATAGCGAGGGATACAAGTCCCAACAATAAATACACTGTTATGATTTTTTTTATATTCAGATTAATCGTAAAAGGATAAACTATGAGTAGCCCGGATGCTATTCCAAATTTTTTTGTAATGCTTATCATCCTGTTAGTTATTTGGTTCAGTTTCGATCACTAAGCACCGGTGCCTAAATTTATCAGAAAAATTTTAATGCAGCTGATCAACCAGCTACGTAGCTGCATTTTGTTAGAGATATTCATGATAAGAGGAAAATGGTAAACATTGTTATCTAATAACTAATTCTCTTTACATGATACGATTTCTATTACCGAACAGCCTGTTTTGACCTCTCGACTTCTTCGAGTGCAAAACCCGATGATCATCTTATAGCAATCCTGTATTTTCCTATCAGAAAAATGATACTAATAAAGTGTTTGCATTGGCTTCTCGTAGGTAACCGGAGGACGGCGCAACAGTAGTACCTTGACTAGTCCTAAGCGTAGCGGTAGCGGTAGTATAAGTACTATCAAGACAGAAGACGAAGGAGGCGGTGGAGGGGCCGGAAGTAGTGGTGAAGGGGGCGGCAGCGGAGCTGGAAGCAGTACCAGCGGGGGCGGAGAAAAGTCCAACAGTACCAGGCCGCAGGACGGCACCGGAAGCACTCACGGATCCAACGGTTTGCTGACACAATTTGGTTTAGACGGTGAGTTTGCTTTTGCGCTTTATGGTACTGTTCTCACCAAAAGAATACGTTTTGGCTTCTCGTCAAAGCAAATGCCAGTTTCGTTTTGAAGTTGAAGATAAAGTCACTGAGTATATACGTACTTACTAATAAGAAGGCGATATTAAGGGTGTTTTCAAAGTTAAGTCATTTATAATAACAGCTTGTAGAACTCGTCAAAAGAAGTTGATATACCAAATATCTCCTATATAAAAGTTGCATAATAAGATAGTTTGCATTTTAAAAAAAATCAGTATCAAGTTAAATGGATACCAATATTACAAAAACTGTTCAAAAGTGTCCCCGTTTGTTCGATTAACGGAAAATCTTCTTCGGCGAATCCACGGCTTTTTACAAACTTCGAAAATAAATTCCTGGTATCCACGATTTACAAAGTTCTTCCAGAGTATTTACTGCTCCATCATGAAATACCAACTCTTTCAAATAGCCCCACAGAAAAAAAACACAAGGCGTTAAATCCGGAGAGCGAGCATGCAAGAAATGGGTCCATTGCGCCCTATCCAACTATTTGGAAACTCATTTTTAGATGTTCATGAACTTCTCGTCTAAAATGTGGTAGAGTCCCATCATGTAGGAACCACAAACATATTCTGTCTCACATTTAGAGACACATCTAATAATTCTGGCAAATTGTGTTGAAGAAAATCTAAATAAATTTCACCTGTCAGTCGATGTGCAAAAAAGTAGGGCCCAACAAGCATGCCATTTACCACGCCAGTCCAAACATTTAATGAAAAATTCTGTTGAAATTGAGTTCTGTTTACAGCATTAGGATTTTCTACTGCCCAAACAAGATCGTTGTGGAAATTGTGCACTCCATTTCGTGTAAGTGTGGCCTCGTCTGTACACAAAATTAATTTCGTGAAATCTTTATTTCTGCCGAACTATTCTAAAAGCCACTAGCAAAATGCAACTCGTAATACACCAACTTTTTCAAATATCCCCAAAGAAATGCAAGGAGTTGAATCCGGGAAGCCTGCAGGCCAAGAAATGGGTACTTTGCGCCCTGTCAATCTATTTGGAACTCATTATTTAGATGTTCATGAACTTCTCGTCTAAAATGTGATGGAGCTCATTCATGTAGGAACCACATATTCTGAAATTGTGCACTCCATTTCGTGTAAACGTGGCCTCGTCTGTACATAAAATTAATTTCGTAAAATCTCGATTTCTGTCGAACTTTTGTAAAATCCATTTTCAAAATGCAACTCTTCTAGGATGATTTTCAGGTTGTAACCCTTGTTCCCGTTGATAATCATGAGGATAATACTGTTCTTGTCCTATTGTCTCCCACACTTTACTATGAGAAACTTCAATTTGAGCTGCTATGGCTTTAGTACCCATTGTTGGGTTGTCTTCGACCATTTCTAAAATGTCTTCCTCAATTTGTAACATTCAGGTTCAGCAGGGGGCCGGCTTTCCGTATGTTAGTATTATGTCCATTAGTTAATTCTTTTCGTAAACATGGGCCATTTTTTTCGCACAAAATAATCAGACAAATGAAAGTATACGCACTATTCAAAGATTGATACAACTGATCAAACCAAAGACTTGTATTGAAAACCATAGAATATCACAAAAGTTTTCCAACTATAGATAAACGATAAGAGTAGTAAACAAAAAACTAAAGACTTTACACGGTAGTGGTCGAGAATATAAAAAAATCTGTGTAATGATATTTTTTTTAATATTTCATCTTTTACTATTTCTTTTACTATGCAACTTTTATATAGGTGATTTCAGGTATATCAACTCCTTTTGACGAGTCCTGTACAAGCAGTTAAAATAAATGACTCGAGCTTAAAAAAACCCTGTATAAATAGACTATTTTGGTCCTTAAACGCCTCATTTAAAGAAAAATCGTGAAACAACGTATTTTATGAATAAAAAGCCAGAATGTACAAGGAATTTTGAGTATATTTTGAGTATTAATCAATTTATTACCAACTCAACATACTGGAGCACGATTTACCTCTATGCAAAAGTGCTTCGTTTGAGGGCGTCAAAGTCTTCTTGTCGAAACACATTTTTTAAGATATTTTAAGAACCGAGTTGAATTAAATTTGGGACACAAGTTGTGCTAGACGTTCTGATATTTGACTTTTACGAAATACTTTAAAAGTTCCGAGAAGGATGAAAACTACGCCCATCCCTATCTATATTATAGCATATTTTTTTGACAAGATTCCCGACTCTGAATTTTCTTATGTAGCAGCTCTTTTTATTTACTACCTATTTTCGTAGTTTTATAATCTGTTTATATTATATGTTTAAAGGAAAAACGCAGTAAGGCATAATTTTATTTTGATTCGATATAATTTATTCATATTGGTATTCACATAAATAGCACCTTTTCAACATTTAATAATTATATGATCACATGTAATACGAGGGTGGACCAAATATTAACAGGACTTTTACAAATACTTTTCTTAGCCAATCGGCGGCGCTCTCACAGTGTAGTGTATTAGAAGTGGAGATAACGCGTGGCGAGGTGTTCCACTCAGTCAATGCGTTAATACAGCCACCGTCTGTTGGGCAACGAGTTATTATAAAGTTTTTAATGAAGGAAGACGTAAAACACTGCCAGATTTTCGCTCTATTGAAGGCTCAGTATGGGGATGATACCCTGTCTAAAACTCAGGTATTTGAATGGGCCAAAAAGTTTAAGAGTCGACGAGAACGTGTAGAAAATGTGAATGTCAACATTTAAAAAAAGGTAGTAAATGAGCTTAGCAAGCAAAAGAGTAACCAAGGGCTTATTTTGTGACTGATTAAAACAACCTCTGCATTGGTTTCAATAGATTTGTATTATTTTTTTCAGTACCGTCGAATAGGACGAAAAACAATAAACTTTACGCTTACTCAGGCGCGGTGGGATACCCAAACGCTTCTCCCGGCACGTTGAGTTTTCACACCTCTGCGCATACTCTTACGCTTAATAGTCATAGGTAAGTAACAGTACTGTAAAGTTTACACTTGTTTTATTTACATTGGTAGTAGAGAAAAATAGACGGAAATATTTTAGAGGGTGATTCCTTGTTAAAGAATATAAAAAAAAGTTTCTATAAACATCGGTCCAGAAATGCAGAGTTTTCAAGATACAGGGTGATAAATTTAAAAAAAAATTGGCAATATTATTAAAGTTGCAGTAACACTTTTTCCAGAAATTTTTCTAATTTCCAGGGCACGTGATTTTTTTTAGCAAAGATTAATGACCCATTTTTTGCAGTGACATGCAATAAAACTGTTTTTATTCTTTGTTCTCGGAAACGAAGTGGGATACTGAAAAATACAAGAGACAAAGAAGTAGTATTTTTAGATGCTTAATCAAACAATATATATTATAGTTACAAAAAAGGCACCGACTTATATTTTTTTTTGCCCATAATATTCTCCGTCTATTTTTCGAACACCCTGTATAGCTATAACTCCCATGTTTGTCTGACCTATGTTTGAAATTCTTCTTTAATGTAGTATACGGTTTGGTCACAAAGGCGACCTTCTTCAGTTCATGACACTTTTGTTACAATATTTTTTAACTGTCTTGTAGGTGACGCTTCGTTTGTTTTTATCTACGAGCTCCTTCCCACTTCAGTTGGCCCAACTATTGAAATCTTAGTTTTTTTCGTATCAAAAACAAATAATAAAAATGTAGCAGGGTATTATAGGTTTAAAATATTAACAATGAATATTTTGATAATATATAGTAGAAAACACCAACTTTATCACTCCCTGATCAAATTTGCAGCATAAAAACAACCCATGTTGCAATTACAGCATATCAAATAGTTTTGGGTAGTTAAGGTTTTCAAAATGGGTAGAGGAAAGATTATTAGTGAGAAAATTCGGTTACTGATAATTAAATTTTTTAATTCTGGGAAATCAAACTCAGAAATTGCAACTTTGTTAGACTGATCGCGATACAGTGAGAGGAATATTGTTAGAAGATATAACGTAACTGGTTCAGTTAATATTAAGCCACGATATGTGAAAAAAAGTAATATCACAAATGCCGACCGAAGAGCATTAAGAAGAATAATCGTGACAAACAGGCGTGCCAATTATTTACAATTAAGTGCTCTGTGGAGTGACGCTGTTGGAAGGAGAATTTCGAGGTCCAAAACTCATAGAGAGGGCCACAAACTGGGATTTAGCACTTGCAAGGTAAGTTTTCTTATAAAAAAAGTGAAGTAAAAACCCTAAAGTTGCGCAACTTGTTTATAGGCCAAAGAAAAGCCACTATTAACTCCATTGCAAAAGAAAAATCGGCTTATATGGGCTAAAGAACATAGACAATGGACACCTCAACAATGGTGTGCAATACAATGAGGCCCGATTCGAAGTTTATGTTGGTGACAGTCGCAGTAGTTATTCGCAAAAAAATGAAGCATTCCATGTTGACTGTCTGAAGAGAAAAGTGAAATTTCCAGCATCCATTATGGTCTGGGGCAGTATGTCATCAAAAGGAGTATGAAAACTTCATTTTATTGATGGAAATATGGATACAAACAAATATTTGGCAATTTTAGAAGAATCGCTTTTACCAGTGATGGAAGAATGTTTGACATCCGGCCAAGATTTTGTGTTTCAGCAAGATGGTGCAGCGTGCCTCAAAAAAGGCTATAAAATTTATGGAAGAAAATAATGTACCACTTTTGAAATGGGTTTCTAGCAGTCCAGATCTGACACCTATTGAAACTTTGTGGCACGAGACAAAAGCTTCAAGAAATTTGTATTTTTTACGACTAGAGTGTATCTAAAATGTTCTTGAGAGAATAAATTGTTTTAGAAGTAAATAGTTTCGTCATGTTTAGTTTATAAAGGCATATTTTGGTACAAATCTCGAAGTGGGCCAACTGAAGTGGGAAGGGGCTCGTATATTTTCAGATTCCTATACAGTGTGTTGCAAAATTTTAATGCGAATGTAGCTCATTTATCACATCTCAAGTCATGAATAAATAAAAACCATTTTGTGAAAATTCGGTTTCTTTGTATCGGTTTCTTTATATACGGGAAAAGTCGAAATTGCGAAAGTGTCAACTTTACTCTAATTTAACCGATTTCGTATCTCTTATTGTTTAAGAGATCTCATTGGTGAAAGTCGAATTACCCGGTATACATGTAGCTAAAGATGTTGTATGCTTGTTATACAGGGTGGCCCATCGAAAAGGTCGCACCCCCATTTGTGACACTCCTGCTATATTTTGGGAAAAATGCTCGGACACCTCAATTTGGATTTCTAGGGGGATGTCTTTTTATCTATAGCCGTACAATACAGGTTGATCCAAAAATAAGATATTGTACACTTTAGATTTTTAACTGGAAACTCCTTTTTTTAATTTTTTTGATTTTCCGTGAAGTTTTTAGTAACTTTTGTATAATAAAGTTTATACCTATCTTCAATGGCTGTGAAGCTATTTGAGCTTATAATAAAAATCGACATAGCAAAAAACAAAAATTATAGATAACACCAAGAATATTTAGCATCAGTCGGTGTCATTGTATGTCATGGAAAAACTTTGTATTTCATTTCAAATTGTCAAGTTACCTACCTAGTTGTGATAAATATTGAACAATGACTTATTAAATTCAAGAAAGGGTAGAAATAACAAAACTGTATTAGTAAAATGGGAGCATTAAGCCAGAAAAAAATATTAACAGTAAGTAATAAGTAAATAAGAAAATTTGAAGAAACTGGATATGTGTATAATATTCGTCGTAATCGCCATTGAAAAAATCGACCAGTTAGAAATCAAGTCAGAAATAGCAGTTATGGGACACGAAGCACTTGATAACACCCAAAGCACTCGTGGACTGGCTATTTTCAAGATAAAACTTGTCTATGAGCTTAATGAAGACGATTGGAGTTTTGCGAATTAATGTCTCAACGTTTAATCAACAATGCATTTCTGTTATCCAATATTTGTTTCTCGGATGAGTGTACGTTCTATTTACATGGTGCTGTAAATAGACTTAATTGTCGATTTTGGATTGAATCGAATCCACATTTGTTTCAAGAGGTACACTCGCAATATCCTGAAAAAATAAATGTTTGGGCCGGCATTTTCGGAAATCATATGTAGGGCCCTTTTTTTTTATTCTTGGAAATTTGACGGACGAAACGTACTTGGACACGTTAGAAAATACAATAGAGAAATAATAGAAAATGACGTTAATTATGATGAAAATTACATTCAGTTCCAACAAGATGGTGCACCGCCGCACTATGTGGCCCCAGTACGACACTCATTTCCCGAATCAGTGGATCGGCAGACGAGGCCCCATCAAGAGACCGCCGAGATCTCCAGACCTAAGTCCTTTCGATTACTCTATTTGGGAGCATTTGAAAAGTAAAGTTTTTAGTACGAAGCCAGATTCCATTCAAGATCGATTACGGCTGAATATAGACAAATAACTCAAGACATGAACTTTCAAAATGTGATGAGTAGATTCGAACAAAATCTTTATTATTTCATGGAGGTAAATGGACACCACGTTCAGCACTTATTACCACATTGACCTACCTCTTTATGTCAAATTAGTGTTTAATTTCAATGTGCGTGTAAACTGTAAGATGTTTTTTGTAGTTTTAATATTCGGAGACTTATTTTTAATTTCAAAGTCTTGTAACTATGGACACTATTACTGATTATTATTTTTACGATATAATCCCCTATTATCACAATTTCTAGAATTTTATTATAATCTCAAATTGCTTCACAACGATTGAAGGTAGATATAAACTTTATTATACAAAAGTTACTAAAAATTTGATGTAAAATTCAAAGATTAAAAATCTAAAGTGTGACGCAATATCTTATTTTTGGATCACCTTGTATTGAACGGCTATAGATGAAAAGGCGTCCCCCTAGAAATAAAATTGACCTGTCCGAGCGTTCTTTCCAAGAAGGTCACAAATGGGGGTGCGACCTTTTTGTTGGGTTACCCTGTATCTATATACAGGGTGTCCGCAAAGTTGGGGTTTTCCTTTACATGACGTGTAGATCTTGAAAACATAAGCATTTTTGCTTAGTACCATATACACCAATGTCTTAAGGGAATCGAGATAAAGGGCTCTGCAGCATCAAAAATATCTGAATACCGTCCTGTAGCCGCGACATCCCCAAGTGGTACTAGGACACTAGCTCAACCCGACGACAGAACTGGGTCGGGGTCAGTGTCTCAGGTCAGTATGCAACCTTTAACCGACTGTTACTGTCACGCGTGTAGAGGTAAACGAACCCGTATAATCGATTGCGTTTCAAAAAACAACAAGCACTAGAGACGTGGCTAGAGAAGTGCAAGTATCAAAAACTAAAGTGTGGCAAACGCTGCGTGAAGAGGGGCTGTATCCGTTTCACGTCCAACGTGTACAAGCCCTTCAACCTGACGATTTTCCAGCAAGAGCGCGGTTTTGTGAGTGGTTGTTGCATCAACATGACAATAATCCGGACTTTTTGAAGTGCATATTGGTGACAGACGAATCTACGCTCACGCGTAATGGGGTGAATAACTTTCGCAACACTCATGTTTGGTCAGTAGAAAATCCGCACGCTGTCCGTCGGGCACATTTTCAACAAACATTTTCAGTGAATGTTTGGGCTGGCATGGTGAACGGTATGATCATTGGATCATTTATTCTCCCAAATCGATTGAACGGGATGCAATAACTAGACTTTTTACGCAACATTTTGCCTGCGTCTGCTCGGTAGCGCATCAGCTGATTTCATTTTCTGTTGGAGCGGTATGATTTCGGGCAGAGGCCCTTCTCGTCAACTGGAGAGTGAGTACTTTTTCCTTTATTTTTTTTACTTGGTCGCCCTCGTTTCACTACACATTACCTTTGTTATTTCAAGGGTAGTTGTTTCTGAAAAGGAAAACCCCAACTTTGCGGATTATTAACCATTTTTTTTAATTGTTTCAACTACCCTTTTATAAGCTTTCATCAAAATTTTAATTTTGCATTTCTCTTTTAGTGCCAATATATTCGATATAGCGAACGACTCCACGGAGCCGGGTAGCAAGTTGGACACAGATGCTCCAGTTAGTAATACTGTCTCAGCGAACAACAAGGCCAAAACAATCGTCCGGAAAAATAATTTCGTTATGGAGGTAAGTGTAATCTATACAGATATACAGAAAAGAAAGCCTTTAACCGAATCGACCATAAATTATCAAACCTTGGATTTTCTGAACATCTACTCTCGCTCCTCCAGTTATATCTCAGACCGGACACTGTTTGTGTAATACGTTGGTTTCAAGTCTAATAACTACATAGCTACTGCAGGAGCTCTTCACTGGTCTAACTTGGGAAATTATTTTAATCTCTATTAATGATTTGTCGTTTGGATTAAATGTCATTTATTTTTCGCTGTTGATTTAAACATTTATAATAGTATCGTAACATCCGAAGAGTGGCATTTTCTTCAAAATAATTTGGAAATCATCAATTCATGATGGTCCAAAAACCTCACACTAAATGTGTCGGGGACCGCAGAACACGCATGGAGAGAACATCGCGAAATAAATTGGGAAGACACCAAGATCATACATAAAGAAGCGCACTGGTATCGCCGAAAATTCAAGAAGGCAGCTTACATATCCAGCAACGTGTATAGTAATGCCAGCGTAGAAATCAAACCAATATGGAAACCTATCATCAGCATCATCAAAACGCTACGGTTAGAACAACCAGGGCAAACCCGGAGAACATGTGGAAGGAACATGTATCTCAGTTCACCTGAAGAGGATTGAAGAACTTGAGAATCGAAACGTTATGATCTCAAAACTTGTATAGAGAATGGAAAAGTCCGGAATAAAACTTTTTAAACATTTAAATCGTCTACAAATTTTAAACAACAGTTGGAGATCAGCAACATGTTACGAGGCTACGAGCTAACCATGCTGAAACTGAAGAGAGAAGAACCCCCACATCGAATTCCTGCGCAGAGCCAGGGACAACGACATCGTTCCCAAGGGATCAAAGATGACGTCCCCAATACCAGGCGAACGTGTTTTGAGGATCCTGAAAAGAGCAAGTCTGGTACAAATGGACACCAAATACACTGGAAGTAGACTACCAGCCCTTACTGACCAAAATCGACAGATCCTCCGAAGAAGCCATGATGAAACAACGACTTTAGCATGAGAAAAAGTGGAATGGTCTTGTTAGGGAGCAATGTGGACAGAGACCCAATCAAGATCGACCACAGCTCAATGAATTCGCTATAGTATCGTCAAGATCGCTCACGGATATAGGAGCAATGCTATTGGCAAAGAGTCTTAACATTGTTACAACCCCAAACTAGACAACTAGTGCCGAGATGGACCAGGACAAGGCAGAAGAATTTAATTGGAAAGTAAAAAACACCTTGGAACAAACCAATCAAGACAAATAGACAAAAGCAATGCAACAGTCGTCATGAATACTACGACATATGACACAAAATTGGATGAACAAATGGCGAAAAGAAATTACAAACGTCTACCTAACGATCCAACACAGAAGATCGAGGGGCAGTTACATCGATACATGTGTTGAGTGACCCCGCTCGAACTTCGTGGATTAGCTGTTGCAGAGTCTGTGGCGGATGGTCAAAGTGGATAGTCTCCTCCCATCATATGCTCGATGGGATTTAAATCCCGTGAAAGGGGTGGCCACGGCAAAACATTAACGCGTTCTTCTTGAAGAAAGTCCGTAGTACGACGGACAATATGGGGACATGCGTTATCTTTCTGAAAAAAGGACGTGTGGACGTCCCTGCAGATACGGCAGTAAAGAGGTTTGTAGGACATCATCAATATAACCCGCAGCAGTCATACTGCCTTGAACAAAGAGAAGGGAAGTTGGGCTACCATAGGCAATAGCCCCCCAAACCATTACTCCAACAGTCCTGTGTACATGCCTCTCAACGGCAAACCCACTATCACGCCGTTCTCCCGGCCCGGCATTTTATCCTTCTACGACCGTCGCGCGTACCTAGACAGAATCGCCATTCGTCGCTGAAGATGACATTAGGCCTCTCAGTGTTGCTGTTTTCTGCTCCAGTTCGAAAGTTGACTACAGTGGTCCGCAGTCAGAGGAAGCACTAACCGTGGACTATATGAAAGAAGTCCAAAGGCTCGAATGCGGTGATAGAGTGTACGCATAGTAACAGGTCTACCTTCTCCAAATCATTGGTCAGCGATCTGCCGCGTTGTTTAACGCGCCTATCTTTACGCTCTGTGGTACGCCTCGGTGGACCAGTTGGCCTTCTTCGTGTTCCTCTACCTTCTTCTATCCACACACGACACACACGCATTACCGTCATTACAGTACTATCAAAGCGGCGGCCAATTTCACGATATGACGAACCAACATCTCGATAGGCAATTATTCCACCCCTGTCATGGTGATAATTTCGACGTCTTCGAGCTCGAGGCATTTTGTTATGCTTAACACTAGTAAATGAAAGGGCAATAACTAAAAATATTTGTACTACTCAGCTCTCAGAAACTGCTTTCTTTACGAAAACTAAGAGATAACATTTTAACAAAGGTAGACAAAAACAAAGATAAACGTTGACATTGATGCCACAGCAGGCTTTAAATATAGTCATTATGTTACCAAAAAAACAAAAACAAGTTGAAGAATTTACTTTTACTGGGTATAATCCTTTTAATGTCACTGAGTATACATCAGATACAACTTGTTCTATCACATCCCACCATCAACGCATCCTTATTGGAAAACCCTATTGCGACAGTCATGAACGGAAATATGAAATGTAGTGTTTGTCGTGAAGACGTGATCGAGAGTGGCTGGCATACCGGTGTTCAACTTCTTTTTGAAAAAAACTCTAATAGCACTGGACTATCATCATTCTATGGAGATGGAAACCTTGCCTTGGAATGTACGAGATGCGGTGTGGTCAAGCCAACCAATGATGCAATGTTGCAGAACTTGTGGCGATCCTGACCTTACGTTTCGACCTGAAATGGAGCGCCGTTAGGACCGATCCGGGATCGATTCTACACAATTCAAGAATGTCTAGGCTCAAAATAAAACCATTTTTTGGGCATAGAAAACAAACTAACGCGTATTTTCAGTATGCATCATTATTCAAGGAACTGGTGTAACGTATTTGCAACGTGGTAGATTCCCACGACCTTCCGCGCCCGCATTGCTATGCACCGTGTGGTGACAAGCGACCCACCACTTCGCTGGTCGGTCGGCTGCTATTTCTTTCTACCATATGCGTTTTCACACACTTCTCTCTCGTACACCTCTCCATGACAGTTAAATTCGGATTTCTCTGTACATTATAACGATACAATTCCTGTGATACCTACAATTATGGTTATTTTTCGAAGGGGGCACTAGAATTTAAAGGGCACAGGAAAGAAATGTTACAAAAAGTGAAAAGTGAATTTAAAAGTTTGATGACTCCTCGATTCCTTGTACAGGTCTGACGGGGTACCACCATAGATTCCTTATTATACGCAATATACGAGCCCCTTCCCACTTCAGTTGGCCCAACTATTGAAATCTTAGTTTTTGCTTATCAAACACAAATAATAAAAATGTAGCAGGGTGTTATAGGTTTAAAATATTAACAATGAATATTTTGATAATATATACACCAACTTTATCAATCCCTAATCAAATTTGCAGCATAAAAATAACACATGTTGCAATTACAGCATATCAACAATTTTCATTTCTATGCAAAATAAGTCTATAACACATAGGTGGCTGTGAAAAATAAAAGCTATGACAATTGTTTTTATTAATCACAGCTGTCCGAATACGTTTAAAATAGTTTTGGGTAGTTAAGGTTTTCAAAATAGGTGGAGGAAAGGCTATTAGTGATAAAATTCTGTTACTGGTAATTAAATTTTTTAATTCTGGGAAATTAAACTCAGAAATTGCAACTTTGTTAGACTTATCGCGGTACAGTGTGAGAAATATTGTTAGAAGATATAACGTAACTGGTTCAGTTAATATTAAGCCATATGTGAAAAAAGTAATATCACAAATGCCGACCGAAGAGCATCAAGAAGAATAATCGTGAAAAACATTCGTACCAAAAGTCTATTGAAAAGAATATAGAATTATGCTTAAAAATGACTTAACGTTTATTTCTTTCGCCGCAGATTCGTGTATGGTAAATTGTTGTAGCAGCTACTAGTTTCGGTGGCGATCAGACGACGTTCATACTTTTTTCATACAACGACTGTGACATTCATCGTTTTTCCTTCACGGAAAGTTTTCAGTTGGGTATAACTACGTACTGTCATTGTTTTTGCGTGTTTCCGATACCTCACGGGATTGTACTGCGTTAAGACTACATGTCGCCGGTTCTAACTACAAAACACAAAATTTGTGACATTCATCTTTTTCCCGGTACCCTTTAAATGCAAACATGTGCGAGTACCGTCTAACATTTGACTTATGGGTCATTTTAAGATGAAGGTTGTCAGTCATGCATATTTTTCAAACTATCATTGGATGCAGTTTGAACAGAAAGTGTCTATTTCCAGGTAACGTGATGGTCTGTTGATGCCCCCCACGTGAATCGGGGTGATGCTGTCGAGTTTCATCTGCAGGGTCGATGTTGGGTGTTTGATAATGATGATGGTGGCCGCGATTGCGCCATTGCGACGGCGCTGTCAACCGATAGAGAATGGTATATTCTGTGCTGCTACCGCTACTCTCCTTAAGTTACAGTTTATATCTTGTAGTAACTATCATGTATCACAAACAAAACACAAGCTAATTAAGAGAAAAAAACTAAAAATGTAAAAAATAGTTGTTGATATATGTATTAAGAAACGCTCCAAGCTGGTTTGCGGTTTTCTCTGTTTTGCGTTTTGTCGACTGAATAGTAAAATGCAGGATGATTAATTATTTTATTATATTATTATTTTGGAAGTAAATTCTATTGCGAATAAAATGCGAGGTTTGGCAAAAAAATGTCTAATGGAAAAAGTTTTCAAATGGCACATGGTCTTTTCATTTACCAGGATGAATATTTCTACAATTATTGTTTTTGAAATGTATAGGAAGATGTGACTGCTTCTGTTCTATGATTGTACATACAGGTGAGACCTAAGCATATTGTAAATTAAATACCATCAATGATCCTTGAGCCCATTTCCAATACCATACAAATAATAATAATTTTGTCGTATTTTGTTAGTTGCCTTTCAGTGAAAAATAAGTGATTGTTCCTTATACTCTGTTTAAAAACCGTGCAATTTTTAAAAAACTCGTTTTGGTGTATTGACTCATTTGTCTTTGCAAAAATATTTTTGGATTTAGGATTCTGACTTTGTTGCTTTTGCAATACGCCAAGAGTGCAGACTGTGAAAACCAATAGTTCGCCAATTTCGGCCTGAAAAGAAGGCTGAAATAGCGTTAAAACTAATAAAAATACGCTTCAACCTCTTGTAGAGCAACGAATTAACTTTAAGTTAAATACTTGTCGACCTTAAAACATACCTGTATAATTTTTAACTTAGTTTAACATACCGGCAGATCAAATTTGATTAAAGATTTTTTTGAATAAATTAAATTTTTTTGTCAGGCTAATTTGTTTTTCGTTTTCTTTGGATCACTCCTAACGAAGAAGGTTTCTATTAAGTTTTCTCTAAAGCTCATAATTTTTAAGTTATTGCCATGGGGTGTCTCGATAAGAACGCCGGATTTGATTTTCAATAAAAACACAATTTCTTTTCGAATTAAGCGAGTATAATGTTTCAACATGAAGAGGAATAGTTGCGATTAAACATGAAATAGGACATCCGGTAAGTGGCCACCACAAAACCCCTGTCACAGGGTCAGTCTTTTCTTAAAATTCCGGATAACGTTTTCGCACAACGCATTGATAAAACGCCTATCTCTTCTTTGAGGCGTTCAACTGTTTAAGGCTTGTTCCATTACACCTTTTCCTTCACATAGCCCCAAAAATGGGTATATTCAGTGCTTGAAGACTTGTTTAAAAATTATAAATTTTGATGTGACCAAGTATCTAAATTTTAGATAAAACCTTGCTCTACAAGATCAGTACATGTATATAAGGTAACAAAAACCTTGCAACAGAAACACGTAGCTAAAACAAAAAAAAAAACAAAAAATACCCAAAGTTCAAAGTTACAAAAAATAATTGTAAAATAATGTAAATATTTCGATAGGTTCGACATTGTCTCACGTGTATATTTGTAAATTCCTCTTTATTACCTAAAAAATAAAGATTCAAAATCCTATTGGGGAATTAAAAAATTCTGATGATTTTGCTGATGCATTCTATATCTTGCGAAAGACATCTATCCATAATTATGTAGTCGTAGTTTTAAGGACATGCATATCTTCATATTGTTATTCTGTCAAATATAGAAGAAAATGACCCCAGTAAAAGTTTTCTAGTTAAGGTATTGCAACTTTTAGGTTTTTTCAAAAAATCACTACTTTTTGCTCCTTTTTGCCTGGTATGGCTATTAAGAACTTCTAACTTATGAGTAAGATCATTAAATAGACTGATTTTTAAGATCATTTGTCGATTCAGTCTGGTACATTTTCTCACAGTAATTTGTCAAACTTTAGTAAAGGTTCTCATATTGAAACAAAATGTATTAATTACACTGGTCAACAAAATTTTAACTTTGTCGTGCCACACGGACTTTTTTGATATTTTTTACTTTAATTGGTGATTGTAAGAAAAAATAAACGGTTAAAAAAAATTTGCTAGACAAGGATTTTATTCTATTGGGTAATTTAAAATATTAAGAAAAAACACAGATCTCGTAAATCAAAAGTTATTTTTTTTTATAAATGACTTAATAATATAAGATTTTCTTGAATATTTAGCTTTTGGTTGGTCCCTTTTAATTGTCCAGCAGTAATCTGCTAACATATTTGGGCTCCATTTGCCCTGGTACCGCTTTTCCATATTAGAAATGTCCTGATGGAACCTCTCACCGTGCTCGTCGCTGACAGCCCCTAAATTGTCAGGAAAAAAATCCAGGTGCGAGTCTAAAAAATGGATCTTAAGTGACATGTTGCGACCCAATGTTTGATATGACAATAATAGCTCGCTAACCAACTCTCTGTAGCTGTCACTCTTGTGGTTACCCAAAAAATTTGAAGCAACATTTTTAAAAGCCTTCCATGCAGATGTTTCTAAATCGCTTAATTTTTCTTCAAATCTTGAATATTTTATTAACTCCCTAATTTGAGGGCCAACAAAAATACCCTCTTTTATCTTTGCATCACTTATTTTAGGGAATTTTTCTTTTAGATACAAAAATCCACTCCCATTGCGATCCATTGCCTTCACAAAATTTTTTATTAATCCTAATTTGATATGCAATGGTGGTAGAAGCACATTATTTGGCTGTACAAGGGGTAAATACTTTACGTTTTTTTGCCCAGGAACTAACGATGCACGCGTAGGCCATGTTTTTTTATATAGTTATTAGTTCTGTCTCGGCCATCCCATTCACATAAAAAGCAGCAAAACTTTGTATAACCCGGCTGAAGTCCAAGTAATAGTGCAACAACTTTAAGATCACCGCAGATTTTGAAGGAATATGTACTGTAATTTATTTTTTCAAGTAAAAGTTTCATAATTTCATAGGTTTCTTTCATATTTGCAGCATGGGCCAGAGGTACAGACGGAAGCTTATTTCCATTATGCAATAACACTGCTTTTAGACTTGCTTTCGAAGAATCAATGAATAAACGCCACTGAGAGAGATCAAAATCTATGTCCAACATTTTCATAATCTCATTTATGTTATTGCAAAACACCAAATCTCCATCCTGAGAAAAATACGTTCTGAAGTGTTGATCACGGTTTCGAAAATAGCTAACTTTTGTATTATGATGTAGCAAATTCCATTCTTTTAGACGTGATCCTAATAGTTCTGACTGCTTTTTTGACAAATTTAAATCCCGAACCAAATCATTTAGGTCTCCTTGAGTTATCAAATGTGGCTCGTTTACAATTCCTTTTAACTCAAAGTCATCGTCCTCGTCAACACATTCACCTGAAGTGGACGGTTGTGAATTGTTCTCAACAGACGTAGTTGCAATTGGTATTAGTTCTGGCAATTTTTTACAATGAGAGACTGGTCTTATAGCCGAAGATAAGTTAGGGTAAATAACTGTGTTTTTTTTTCTTGTAATTTATACCTTTTATGTCTGTGAGACAAAAATAGCAATCTGAAACGTGATCTCGCTATTCAGTCCATATCATGGGTACAGCAAACGGCATAGGTCGTGCACCTTTCTTCCAGTCAGTTAAATTTTTCACACACGTTATGCAACAGACATGAGGGACCCAGGATTTGTCTTGATGGGCGACAGAAAAACCAAAACATTGGTGATAACACTCCAACACAAGATTCGTAAAATTTCGTCGTTGTTTTTTGAATGTTAGTTCTCCGCAGACATAACAAAAAGAGTTAGGATCATTATTACACTTCCTCGACATATTCACAGGGCTAATAAATCACAAAAAGTGTTCAAATTCAACAACAAATATTTTTATAAGGATTTACTTGTAAGCGTTGTTAATTTACTGCCGTAGTACTAGTTATGAGTATTACCGTATCACAACAAATATGAGGCTAATAGACATATGACAGCTGTCATGTAATAATGAGGGTAGACTGATAAAACAAAATTAGCTGTCAAAGTTCGTGTGGCAAAACCAGTGTTGACCAGTGTTATTTTAGCATAGCGTGCTAGTTTTCACTGAAATGAATCCTCTATTAATGGAGGAAAAAACTCATAAGTTAGAAGTTCTGAATAGCATAGCAGACAAAAAACCTAAATGTGGAAATATCTTGAAAACTAGAAAACTTTTACTAAGGTCATGTTGATTTTATATGATTGATCTGAAGCCAAAGCGACACCCTGTATAAATATTATTCCTATATGAAAAAATTTTTTTTGAGATACTACTCGCAAGTGTTTACAAAATAAACTAATAAATTGAAATTGGCAGCTCAGCGAATCTCATATGAAATTTCATTAGATTTTCTTTTTGTTGTATTTCATTTGTAGTAACATAAAAATGTTGAAAATGCTTTAGAATGCATAGCTGGAGTCTAAAGGATATAAGATTTTTAAAAAGTCAAAATCCTACAAAACTTAAGACTTGATTCATATAAAAACTGTACAATGGCGCCTATTCATTTCCATGTGTACATTTTTTTAACACATTGTATATACATATATATTCTATGTGGGAACACGGTATTATTTTTAAACAAGTACCAGTTTTTATCAAGTTTTTACTGTGATTGCGATAAAAACATATTTTTGAACCAGTTTCTTTTGCAAGTTAACTTTTGTGACGTATTTTGTTGTTTTTCTAGAATAAAGTCACGGATGCTGTAGGCACTAATAAAAATTCGACAAATAGTGCATGAATTTCTGTGTCAACCCTCGTATTTCTTCGACAAACTTGAAATAACTTCGTAATTCATTTTGGAAGACTCGTTGTTGTAAAGTGCAATAGTAATCTATACCATAGTATAGAGGAAAAAGTAAAAGTCAGTTCAACTCATTACTTTAAGGGTTTAATCATCCTATGTGTTGTTTTATAGTAGCAGTTGAACACGCTGTTTTTGACACTGTGATCATATACACTTGATTTTAATAGGAATAAAAATGTTTTACAATTACCTGTCTTTTATTTACGTTGCAAAACTTGAGAAAACTTCGAACCGCCTCTTTCACTTTCTGATATCGATGTGTTCAATATAAGTGATGATTTTATTTTCATCGTGCAGTCACATACTTCTGTGAGGTGATTTCCCATTTGCGAAATGGATATAGAGAGTGGCTGACAGCGTGAAATTCGGTCACTGTAGCAATATATATACCTTAGACGCTATCAGAAGTATAGAGCAAATTATATAAATCAACGTCTATGTTTTACTGACCAAATGGAACCATAGTTGTAGAATTGAAGTATTGTGTCATTTTGTGAGAAAGCCGCGGATATGGCCGAAACGTCAGTAAATATTTCAATCCTACATCACAAGATGTTTTTTGAGTCACATTGAATTATAGAAGTCATTGTATAGAATGTGGTGATGTGTTACAATAATCGTTACCGATACGTCATGATTGAATTTTCATTTAGAAATAATGCTTGGATTTTCAATAATTTTCACTTGTACCGAATATCAATATTTTGTTTAGTGTTTTCACCTTTTTCCAATACTTGCCCCCTATGGTCACACGGGGATCACACCTAATGAATGAATAAATCGTGAAATTAGAGGCTTAAACGGGGCCTTATGCACCTCTACATTCCTTAGACCTCAAGCCTCGCTAGTGAAGTTGAGTATGGCCCTTAAGTCCAAGTTTCTTGTCATCCTGAGGGCCCAAAGTAATGTACCCCAGTATAGTCTGCCTATAGTAATCCTCAGCCACCCCATCACGTACAGGTGGCGCCTTAGCGGGTTATGGCCAGACAACAGTCCCACCAGCAACCTCAGATTGGCTGTATCCAGAGATAAGCAGAAACGTCCATCCTTAGCGCTGGGCCCTACGATGAGTTCCCGTGCCTGACGGAGATTTTTGGAGATACTTCTCCATTTCTGAGAGTGTTGTCCTGCAATCCACGTGTCCATTTTTATCCTAACTCTGCGCGGGCACTCCTAAAGCTGCCTCAGGACCAACGAGCTTGGTGGCTGATCCTGTCTTCGCTAGAGCGTCCGCCGTCTCATTGCCCCTTATCCCAGCGTGCCCCGATACCGGATGGCTCGCTGTGAGACAATCCAGAGCATCCCTAAATAAAAGACTCGAAATAATCTTACAGGCACTTAGTGCCTTCATTGCAGCCTGGCTGTCGGATAAGATTGTTATCCTTCTAGGCCCACCCTCCGCTAGAATGCGACATACTCAAGCCAGAATCGCAAAGATTTCCACCTGGAAAATAGTGAGGCTGAGATAGCCTAATTCTAGGGCCAGAGACCCCAGCGCCAGAGTCCTCTTCGGTGACCGAACCGTCCTTGTACCAGCCCTGTCCACTCACTCCGGAGTCTCTGGATACCGGCGTCCCACTACTCCCTCGTTGGATACTCCACATTAAACTTGCGGTTGAAGCGATATTTAGGGTAATGAGATCACTTCTGCTTAGGACGGGGTCCTCCCTTTGCAGTTCGACTAAAATGGCAGTATTCCCCTTGACAGGATTCAAGAACTAAGGGAACTTCGGAACTAAAGATCCCGCTCATCTTAATCCTTTATTCCATGATTTTTTTATTTTCAATGGAAACAATATATGAGGTAGATCAATCAAAAATTAATGAAAAAAATCCCTATTGAGTTTTTATTCAAAATTTTACAAAAAAAAGGGTATGTACCATATATGAAAGTATGCAGTTATTCTGTGTGGAATCGTAGGTAACAATTTCTTCATTTAGGCAGAGCGGTACTTGGCATTTCATACAATAAATTTATGACTGGTATTTGCAGTCTGGATGTTTGCATCGGCTTCTTTCATTTTCTCTCCATTCCGTCCTTTCTAACTTCAATTTGGGGAATTTCAGCCGCAGGTCCACGTTTTGTTTTTTCCAAATAGGCATGTCTAAGATTGGCGCTAGGTCGTCCACGTTTTCTACTCAATGCAGACTTTCCACTCTTGCATAAAGCATCTGCAATAGCTACCACAAAATCTGCAAGAGGCATATAAAACTCGTGCTCCATAAAAGCCAACTATTTACAACGCACACATTTAACAAATGAAAGAAAATGCGGAGATACCATTTGTTGGATTTAATTTTGATGCGATACTAACCAAGCATAGAATCCATGAGATCCACACCTCCCATGTATCCATTATATTATAGGATTGTTTGTGGACATTGCACATCTCTCTCGCTTTTAAAAAACCTTTTCTCACTTCTAGTTGGTTGTCAGTCGACGTTAGATGATAAAGTTGAGACAATTTTAATGTCATACCATCAAACAGTACTTAATTTTACGTCATCCTTGATAGCAATTTTCTCTTGCCAAGGTCCTCTTCCAAGTTTCTTGAACCCCTTTTCCTATAGCATTTTGTAAACTCGAATTCGATTCAGACGCGCAGTACCAAGAGGAAGAATGCCATTCTTGGTCAAGTAAACAAGTGGAACGCCGGTGGACCAATTGTCAAAAAACATCTTACGGTTGACATGCTTAGGGACTCTTTGTACAAGTTTCAGAACCTCGTTACTGCTTGTTCCCAAATCAGGAGCATCAACAGGTACCACGTAGCTCTGAGAGCTCGCAAAAATGTCGAAGCTGTAACCAAAGCCGGATATTCCGCTCAGAACAAATACTTTGAAGTCCCACTTGTGTGTGTTTTTTTTGAATGTATTGTTTTATTATTGATCGGGCTTTAGTGGAAATAATTTGCTCATCTGCCGCAACATGCTCTTCGACTGGATTTTTATTTAGCCTTTCTTCTTGACTATCTAGAAAACGTCTTATCTTGAACAATTATTCACATCCAGGTGTGTCACGAGGTATGAAAGCATCGTTATTATTGAAATGAATGAATCTTTTGATTTAGTCCCAACTGTTACATGTCATAACTGTTGATAGGTTAGGATGACCTAAATGTGGCGACCAATAGTTTCTTGCTTGGGGGCAGTTGTATAATGGACATACGAGTATATGAACATATGCCAATAAACCGCTCCAATTCATCATCTGGAAGGTTCACAGGACGATTTATACGCATTTGGGAGCAATATAAATTTAATTCGGATAGTTATTGCCTTAGTCAAGAAGAACTTGAAAAACTCTGATGGCTTTTCTAAATTAGTAACTTCTGGGGGCATATTTAGATTGCCTGTAAATTCTATAGGCTTGGGATCTTTTACGAGATTTCTCGTTCTCCAGGATCCTGGATTCAACTTTACAATTTCATGTAGTCATATTTTCACTATTGTCAGACTCTATCTCAATTTGAGAAAGCACTGTCTCGTTATAATCTTCTTCAGGATCGCTGTTGTCGTTGCTTTCAAATGCTAATATGTCGTTAGGCATTATTGGGTTACTTGTGTCTTTGTCGTCTGGCCAATCGTGGCTCGTGAGTATCAACTTGCACACTGCACCAAGGACGGATTTATTGCCGCAGCGGCGTCGGCATTATTTCAACGTGCTTATTCCTCGGTCCCATATAGAAGACACCCTGCAGTTATTCGCTCTTTCATTATAATTGTGTATTCGTGTACAACACTCACTTTTATATGCTTTGTATCTTGGTGTGTTTTATCGAGATTTTAAGTAGGAAGTGTTCCAACCATGCAGTCACGTAAAAATAGTAAGTTGGTATTTGAAAATGAATGTTGGACAAAGATGACAAGATTTGCAAACTTTGGCTTTCAAAGGACAATCAAGTATCGTAATCGCATATTGTAATTATTGTGAAACTTCATCTATTTATTGTACTGGTGAAAAGATTGATTAAAAGCTTTTACAATCTACATACATGAAAAGATAAAAAAATTTGTCCTCGTCATAATAAATAATACAAAAATGTCCATTACTTTTTTGTATTATTGATGAGATTTTTAAAATGTGAAAAATAGTGAAAAGAAGAATTTAAGATAAATTCTTATGTATAACTCTCTCTCTAATATGCGACAGTGACTGAATTAACGCCAAAACTATTTGTAAGAATAATTCCTGTTCTTAATACAGACTCAAAGACACGTTGTACAGATTCAAAATAACTAAAAACAAATGCTAGGACTTTACTCATAATTTATTTTTCCTTTTGTAGTTATTGTAATTATTAAAAGCTAGTTATACCCATGCCAGGCTGTTAATATACTATTAGTAACTTATTGAAATATCTTTTTTGTAAATTGACCTTGTTAATTGTACTTACGGACATTTTTATTGTAAACATGGTGAAATAATTTTTCAATGCTACAGTCGAAATTTTTTTTTTTAAAATAAAGTGGTTGCAATTTCCAGATTTATTACAACATTGACAAATAACAGACATATGTAGGGTAAATTTATACTGATCATTTAGATTCATTTCAGTAAGATAATTTAGACAGGGATCCGATTTAAGAATAAACATACGTTTTAGTTTGTGTGAACGACACCATTTCAGCATCTAAACAAGCTTGCAACCTAAAAAGACTAATCAAAGTTGCAAAGTGACTTCAAATTTAGCGTCAATCAATGACACAAAATAGTTCGGACATTAGTGTTAATTTTGTCTTAAAGTTTGTTTATTTTTTTAAGGTTACAAAATATTTTTTTTCTTTTATAAGACATTAATTTATTGAACATCATATAAACAAAATTATTATCAAGTAATATGATATCAAACTATAAAACTAATGTTGTTAACAATATTTGGCTGATACATTAATTCTGGCTTGCATAGTTTTAACAAGGTTTTCGCAGTCTTCCGTCTTAGAGTCCCAAATATTTGCAATTATACTCGTAAATATGCCATACGTCCCTATTGCAACGTACGTACCTTATAAAAATGTAAACCAGATAGAATATGAATCCTCCCACGGCACGTATCTCGTGAAACATTTCCTGCTGTTTCTTCATTCCATTTTGCTGTTATGCCCCTTTCAGTATCTCGCCGACCAGCTTTACCAATACGAACAACAGATCTTTGCATTCTAGGACTGCATCAACTTGAATTGAACCTGTGTCTCCATACTTTTTTACAATATCCGCCTCAGTAGACTTTTCGACATTTGTTTGTTTAGCAATGTCCCGAAAACTCGTTGATTAAACAATTTTTGCCTTACAAAAATAAACAAACTTGGATTAGATTGTGTCTGAGCATGTTTGTGTTAGGGCTCGTATTTTTGTTCATATCAATTGCTATCATGTTACAATTTAGAAATCAAAAACACCATAGAAAATTCTTGTGAAAACTCAAAAACAGTTACACGTTCTGTTTTCTGATCCGTGCATTTACCGAATTCAAGAGTTTGGGAGTCTTCTGAGACAGTGTCATTTTAGTATATGTGTTATATTCACCAGTAACTTGCGTTTTAAGTCTT